GACACACACGGGAACTTTGGCTCAAGGGACTCAGAGACTCCATGTTGGATGGCTGCAAGGACCAGATGTGTTTATGAGTGTTGGAGTTAGATTGGGTTTCATTCTGGTTCTCAGAGTCATGGAGTATACTCACTGGAGGGTTACTCATACGGCGGCTCAGACACGAGTGGCACATGGAAACCTTGTGTGTTGCATAAAGGCTATGTTGTCCGACCTGTCCTTGGCTCGTGCTCGCAGGTCGGCTTATTCTGCGCTCTGTCTCACTGGTACTTAGTCCTACTATTCCTGCTCCGTCACTGCTCAATGTCACATCCATCCTTTCCTGCTTCTCTTACTCTCAATCACGACCTTTGACTCTGATCCTCTTCTGCCTAAGCTCTGCTCTTCTGTTCCTTCATTTGATCTATAATGGCTTTGCAGTTCACTTTAGGTTCTGCAGGTTCACACGTTTGGGTCTCGGGTATGAAAACGAAAACAACAAAAATGGAAAAAAAGCTAAAAAATATATTTATATTGTCATTATTAAACTTAGAATGAAATATTTTAATGTGAGCTGCCTGTTACCTAACATTCCCTATTGCACCCTCTGAGTTTTGAACTTATTGATCTACTCTTTTAGCCTTTTTTCTTTTTGTCCAAACATACAGAGTGCAGATCTAAAGCTAAAACCACAACTTCCTTTCTTATGATTTTTTTTCTTCCCATTTTCGTTTCACGTGACTTAAAAATAAAATAACTTGTTTCTGTCATCTTAAGAAAGATCTTCTGGAAGGACGAGCCATAATGTAATCTTTGGTTCCCCTGTCACAGCGACCTTTATCCTGTCTGTTTCCGTGCTAGTCTGCTACAACTTGATGGGCCAAACTCCTATTTCTACATACGAGTGGCCACTGAGCACCTTCTGTCAGCCTGTTAACTGTTAGCAACAGACAGTGTTCATTCTCATTTCTGCTGTTGTTTGGCTGCTTACTCTTACAGCTAACATTTAGGCCTACAATGCCTATGGCTCTTGAATATTCCAAACTTCTCCATCCTTTACTTTGTCTGAAAGAGAAGCCTCCACTTAGAGATGTGCAGTTAGAGTGGTTGGGAGAGATGTGGTTGGGTTTAAGCCGATACCACCGAGCTGATGTAGTGTCATCGTTTTGCACGTCTTTTTTTCCGGCCCTGCAGCAAGTGTCTGGGCATCTGCAAAGTGGCCCCTTTGTTTGTTTGGAGCTATCAGGTCTGTTTTTTACTGTTGAAGCTGTGAATCAGCTCTCTAGTGTGCAACAGTATGTTACACAGTTGTGGCTGCTCTTGGTTTTTAGCCTGTTGCCACATAAGAACACTCCCCATCTAAACATTTCGTAGGCAGGCAGAATCATGTTGTGGAAACAAAGCAACCGTCTGTTCAACACTCTAGGTTCTCTTTTTATTTACTCTGCTCATTGTTGTTGCTTAAAAAAAAACAACAACATTAGATTCGTGTCACCATCTTGTTTTTGTGGATCTTCAATATTCTTTTTTCTGAGATGGGGAGTTCATTCAGCTTCAGCAATTCATTGCGATAATCCCAAATTATGAATAGTCATAAATCATGGAAATGATTGGTGGAAGCTGTGGTGTGGTGGGCTTCTCTCTAATGTTTTATGAAGGGAAAAAGGAAGAGGTATATGCTTAATACAGCTCTGAATGCAATTTATGAAGCCCATCCTCTTTATTTATTTATTTGTTTGTTTGTTGATCATCTGAAACTTAATTAAGAAAAAGAAAGTGGATGCGAGTTGAACCTCTGGATACCTCAGCACAAGGATAGAAAGCCTCACTTTTTAACCAGGCTTATACGCTCACTTCATGTTTCTAAATAAGTGTCTTTGAATGAGCAAACACACACACACCTGTGCATGTAAACAAGCAGAGTTCAAAGATGCACAGAGACTCTGGACAGGCAGCCAAATGCTCTTCCTGCTGGGCTCAGAAAAAGACCTAAAGAAGGGGTGTAGAGGGCCAGTCCGCTGTGACCACCACAGGCAGCCCGGGCCCCGTCCCGTCAACAGATCTGCTCTGCTCCCATGTAACAACCGTTGCCATGGCAACTGCTCTCCGTTGGCTGTGTTTTGAACACAAACTGTTTCTCACTTTCTGTTATTTCCCGTCTCTCCATCTGTGTGTCTTCAGCAAAGAGCTGGACCTCTGTACTAAAGCCCTCTCTGCTGGATTTTCTTACAGCAAACCTCCATACACAGTCTGCAACTGTAACAACCAATGTGTGTGTTTGTCTTGCTAAATGTTCATGCAGATTTGTTAACTGGCCCACAAAGGCTCAACATAGGGAGCAAAGGGTTGCTGAGCAAGCTTACAAACACATGCAGAGCCTGTGAACAGTGTTTATATTAATATTTGTGTGCAAGCGTGTGACACAATGTCTCAGCACTGGTCCAAGTCACGAAAGATTGCTTTGAGTGAGTACAGAGAGGGTTGATATGCTCTTTGCTCACAGTAACCGGCCTCTTCAAGCGATGCTTAAAACCTGCGCAGACTTTCTGACAAAAAGTGGGCCTGCCCTGAATCACAAAGCCGACTTAAAAGTCAACACTGACTCACCACAGTCTGGCTCCTAAACAATTCGAAAGCATCATCTTCTCTAACGACTTACAAAGTTTCCCCACAAATCGATATGGTGCTACTCAGGTGTATATTTTACTCAGATTAGCGTGCTGATCATTAAAAGCAAGGAGGGGAAACTACCTTTAGGTAAGAAGATGACAACCTTCACAGAGAGTTTATTTAAGTTTTTAGGTATGATGCTGTTTTATGGTCATTTCCGGCCCCGAAAAAATAGAGAACATGGTGGCAGTCACGTGGTCTTCAAACCAGTGGGTGATGCAAGTCATATCCACTTCTGTAACACGTCTAAGCCGCAGATGTGAGTTGTAACTCATCACTGCGTTTTAGCTCTCTGAGAGTGGAAGGCAGGATGTCTAAGTTGATGCTCAATACGGGGACAGCATACATGTTTATAATGTGTCATTTGGAGCCGTCAGAGTCTACTTCTGCTGTTCAAAAACCTCTTTCCCTCTTACTTCTTCCTGCTGTGCTTTGCCTTTAATATGAGGCTGCTGAAGCAGGATCTGAGCCGACTGCAGGTGTATTTTTGTTCCTGCTTATCTGTCGAGGTTTTTATGGATGAGTAGGGAAGATGCAAAAGCCTCAGTGGACAAACCAAAAGGTTGTTTTGTCAGCATTTTTGCCTGGGTGACCAGCGGGACTAAGAGGCGGAATTTTTCTACCTGAGTTCACTCACACATGCTACCACACAAAAGCAGTGGTTACAAAATGCAATCGGCACGACCGTGGCTGCCCACCAAGAACAGGAAGGAGCGCAGAGGGCACTTCAGCCTTCCAGGGTGTCTTTTTACCACAGGAAACAGCCTCGGAGACATGAGCCAGCATTTCCTGTCATTGCTCATCTTTCATACCAACTTGCCTCTCTCAGAACTTCTGGCCTGACCCAGCCTTAGACTGTGCCCCTGCTGGGCGCAGCACTTTTAGCGGGCAAGGTGGTTTGGTTACAAACCCATGGGAGGACTTCTTTTGTTTTTGTTTTTGTTTTGGAAAGGATGTTAGTGTGCTGAGGCTGTGTTTCACAGTCTGCACATCCCGGGTGAGAGAGCCAAGAGTAGATTAGATACCACACGTCAGCTTTAGTTCTAGTTGTCAGCAAGGAGACTGTGTTTTTCCAACCCCCCCAGCATGTTAAACTCTGCAGCTGCTATTCCTCATGGCTGATTCATGTGGCCCGTGACTCCACATTCTGGGAATTTCACTCCAAACACAAACAGTCCTTCAGTTTTGGTGCAGCTCTCGTATGGACATTGTTGCAGTGCATAAAGATCCTATGGGACTGTTCTAGGTCTGATGAGGTTGATGAACAATATCCTGCAAGTTTAAACATAAAAGTAGCCGAAAAGATTATTTTATTTGGTGTTTTCTGTCATGCCCTTCTTTGTTTTCACTAAATCATAGTACACGTCATTTCACAAAATCCAGATCCCAGGAAAAGTTAGAATGTTTTCTTTCTACTTCTGTTATTGAGGCCTGGTGGGTTAAGCTTGCTTTCCTTTGTTGATGCCTTCCCTGCCCTCTCTCTCCAGGCTCTGACCTTATTTTTAGACGACAACCATCCTGCCTAAAGGTGGCTCCAGTTCTGTCTCCCCTTGGAATTCAGGGGTTGTTGTTTTCCTGAACTGGGGCATGGAAGAGGAAACAGGTCTTGGACCAGTGTGTGAGAAGCTGCTGTTACTTAGGAAGATGATGATGGTGAATGCTGCATACAGCCAAACATGTTTAAAATGGCTTGTTGGCTACGAGGTGGCCGGATCTAGTATTGTTTTAGCACACAGGTGCAGCATGGAGCTAAAACGGCTCCTCTGGCAACGGGACAATAACAGTGTTGGCATAAAGGAGCTGAGGGGAGTTTGAAAAGTCACAGTTTGTGTTGTCCAGATTGGTCTGTTGTATAGATTTGTATTATGTGATCAGGTTTCACACCGTGTTTTTTTGTGAAACAGGATGTGGATTTAAATCAAGCGCTATATCATCAGTAGGACCTTCTACAGGAAACAGCAGGCGGCAGGGATTCCCCTACATTTCCATTCTAATATTTCAAACAGCCTACATCTTTTAAAGGAGGATCTGCCCTTGAGTGGAGCTGAAATGGCTGTTGAGTTGTTAAAAGTTGAACAAACTGTTTTTGACCATAGTGTTTTAGAGCAACAAATTACAAAAGGCAGAAATATGCATAAAGGCATACAGGCCTTTTTTAACCTTCGGCTAACTCTTACTCAAGGCAAGTTGCATTTAATGTGTTTTCTGTTGGTCGACTGGTGGATTTGTCAGAGTATCAGTTTGTCATATTTCCTTCATAGTCAGTGGCTAAATGGAAAAATCCAAAAATGTTCCACAACATCTTCCCACCTAATATTAATTTGTGTTTTCCTTTTCCTCCCCGTCCTCAGATGTGCACCCCCGCCAACACACCGGCGACGCCCCCCAACTTCCCAGACGCGTTGACCATGTTCTCCCGGCTGAAGGCGTCCGAGAGCTTCAACAGCAGCGGCGGCAGCCCCATGGCGGCCTCCATGGCCACCTCACCGCCCCCCCCTCACGTTGGTGGCTGGGGGGTCTCACCAAATGTACCTAATGTACCTAATGTGCCGCAACCTCCACAAGGACTCTGGACTCAGGGGCAGCCCCCCATGCAGCCCTGCCCCACCTGGCCCATGGGTGTCAACCCACACACGGGCACTGAGCAGAAGGCTAGCGTAGCGCTGGAGGCAGAGAGATGAAGGGCGTCATGGGACTGAAAAGCCCCCACTCTTCTCCAACTGGGCCAGGGAGGGTGGATATGGGAAGGGTGGAACCAGATAGGGGAAGGAATTGGTTTGGGCTTTTTTTTTCTTTGCAAAAAAAACAAACAAACAAAAAAAAAAAAAACAATTATTTAGAAAGAGAATCTACGCAAACCAAGAAAAGCTCAGCGTGGACAAGTACAGAAGAGGACATAAACCAATGCAAACGTCAGTACAAAAAAGAAAACTACAAAAAAAAAACAAGAGGATATGCACACACATAGTAATAAGAGAGCAACTGAAATTTTTGATAGTTTTTTTTCTTCAATGCATTTATGAAAGAAATATTATCGAACTTTAAAAAAAGCAACAAAAAAAATAAAATAAAATTTGTCACGCCCAAGGATTATTTGTGATGTTCAAGGACATTCAAGGCAGCAAACAGTTTCTTGTTTAGTTTTTTCTTGATTTTTACACAAAAAAATTCCATCTTTTTAAACAGTTTTTTTTTTAAATAACCACTGGTGTTTCTGCAACAGTCTGTGCTGCACGAGGAGAGAGGAGGTTGTGATGCAGTATTTCAGATTGACTCAAGAACCATCGTGCACGTGGGTGCCAGTGTGGACGCATGTGAGCGAGTGGTCAGTTTGCAATCAAAAATGTAAAGACACATCTATACACACATACATATATATATATATATATATATACATACATACACACACACATACATACACACTTTAGAGTTTAGCTGAAACACTTACTGTCATCCCCATCGTCAAAGGTGGGATTTTTCTTACCTCACCTGGTGGTCACCTGACTTCTTTCAGCCAATCAGGGATTCTTCTTAAACCAACTGTTGCCGCAGCCGACACAGGACATGTTTTTACAGTTGTTTTTTTTTCCAGTTCTTTTTCTTTTTGTTTTTTCTTCTTAAAAGCAGCAGCCGCTCGGGTTTATGCTCACTGATCCTCGCTGTGTGCTTTCTCGACATGGACTCTTAACAGCAACTGTCCACTGTATACTTTTTTCTGGAGATTTGGGTTATTACAAGGAAAAAACGAGAGAAATCATTCTTTCATATAATGTTGTTTATAATGCTAATTGTTTTGTTTTTGTTGAGAGGTTAAAGGCGGAGGCTTAGAAAGTGGGTGGGATTTAAGGTTCATATATATATATATATATATATATATATATATATATGAATATCACTGAAAATAGTGAATTTTGAAAGAATGAATCAGTTGCAGCTAAAATTACTACAGATTAAAGAAAAACAGAACTACTCCGTCTTTTTAAATAGAATTGCCACTTTGCATGACGTGTTCATAAACATGTTTTGTACACAAGGGTGAGGCATGTTTTGAAAGGAGGTTGACGTAAAGGAGCGGGTGAGGGTGGTGGGTTTCATTCAGAGGTAATAGAAATGCAGTTGGTGTCTCACCGTGAAGACAGAATTGGGCTGAGTGTCTTTGAAATGTGGATAAAATGGGGGTGAGAGGGCTTCAGGAAACCCACTGAGGAGCGATTTTTGGGGACACTACAGACTACTTTGAGACATACAGCATACAGTACAGAAACCCTCAGATACTGTGCTGTGGAGGGGATTTCACAGCATTTGGGTTTCTGTTTGAACCCCTAAAATATGGCAATATTTTACACACAGGGTCGGCCCCCTTTTTTAGTTTGTACTGTTGGCATTGATTTTTTTGTAATTATTGTCATTATTTGTATTTCTTTTTACATTGATCAAAGAATAGAGCCTAAGAGAAAATATTTTGACTAGCCAAGGGTCTTTTTTGTTTTAAAGGATAATAACATGATAAGGAATGTCATGTTCATAATTCTGAAAGAGTAACCAACTTTCTTTTTCTTATTACTTATTAGATTCAACTAATGTTTGAATTCATCCTTTCTGAATGTTTCATACTTCATTTGGATTTAATCTGAGCTTTTTCTGGGTGGGCCTGTTCCTTAAAGGTTTCTCATATGTTTCTACCCCCCTCCTGTTGTATGACTGTATGAGACCATTCCCACAATATTTGTGGACTACCTGATAATTAACTTATCATTTTTGTGAACCTAAATAAATATTGTATGTCAGCCTATTCTCGATTGCTTACTATAGCATGTGTCCTTTCGGATGTTAATCTCACACTTGGACTCCTGGTTCAGGTAGATGTGATACAGCCATCTGGTCAGACCTCCCAGTGGAGCTCTTCAAACGTCTTTTCTTTTCCAGCTCTGCAGGCATCTCTGTCTTCACCTCCTTCAGTCTGTAGTCCCTTCGACGTAAACACAAACAAACAGTGGTGGTCAGCGTGTGCGTAGTTGCCTAGTCGTAAACACACGCCACATACGCGCGCCCACACATGCCAGTGGTGTAGGGGCGTGGGCGGGTGGTTGTAGAGGGAGTGGGTCACAGGGTTCACTGTGTCCTTATCTCACCTCCCGACTGCTCCTCCCCCAAGCAGGACAAAGGAGTGGATACTCCTCGCTGGTTGCGCGTACCAGTCTGCCAGCTTTCTGGTGGCTGTTTCAGCCACTGAGCTGAGCTTCGACGGCTTGCCGTTCTACTGAGGTGAAAGGTCGGCAGTGAACGGGGTCTTTAGGTCAGCACTGCCTCACATAAATGAATAAAGATAGAGCTTGCTCCATCTGACAAATAAACGGGGGCCACTTGTTGGCCACCGTGAACACCAACGGGTGCTTTAAACTTTAAACTGTGATGTAGTTACTTTGGAACTGCCCGTGCTGGGCGGCTGCTGGTTTTTCTGTTTATCCTCCAAACAAACCGCTGATGTAAGCAAAACACACATTACAGCAGGGGAGTCCAACTCCGGTCTTCCAGGGCCGCTGTCCTGCAGCTTTTTAGAAGTTTCCCAACATCAACTCACCTATGAAATGGGTATGTTAAGGCAGGGAAACCTCCAAAACCTGAAGGCCAGTGACCCTCTAGGACCCCTCTGCATTAAAGCACATCTTCTCCTTAACAACATTCCTTTTAGAGCTGCTTCACACAAACAATGTGCATCAAAACTACATTAACCACCACTGAGCCCAAAGTTGGTCACATCCACTCCTCCCCTTCCTCCCCTCACCCATTATAGCATGCGACCAGTGAAAACTCAAAAGGCCTGATGGTGCCCCCATTCTTTCTGCGAAAGTCAATGGAAATTGCACTCAAGCAGAGTACAAAAGTTTAATCTTTGCAAAATGGGCATAACAGCTTCAACCCTGCAGAGCTCGCCCCGGACCAGTCAGAGGGTTGATCTAAATCTGAGGTACGCCATGGACAGGAGAAGTGGCCACTAATGACAACCTGGAAAGTCATTTATTTTTTTCCACTTGTACTAATTAAAGATAGTCGTTGAAATATCACAGCATTAAAAAAAAAAGGTTTCTCCCATCAAATGAGGAACATGCCTCCAACGGCAGGGAGGATGATGACTGCTAAGAAACACGTGTGCAGGAAGGCATTTCATGACGTAACATGTTTTAAAATCTGCATTGTGAATCTTTTATGAGTCAGAAAAAACATGCACTAAGTTAATTTGAGCCGCATTAGTATTTTGGCGTAACCATGGGCTGCACAGTGGACGAGTCAGTGACTGTCTCGGCGTGACTCACCAGCTCATGTAGTTAGGGTGGCTGACAGGATGAAACTAGGCTTTTGGCATTGTTTGAAAATTTAATTCAACCCAGAAGTGAAGCAGGGAAAATTTTTTAAGAGAGGAAGGCAGCTGAAATGGACAGAATGCCTTCAGGGCACCGTATAGACAGTGGTAGACAGAGGACACTGTGCTCTTTGTGGAAGAAGGCGGTGGGGCTGAGAGGACAGAGTGACATTGGGTGCATTTGTAATCTGGCACCTCACCTTCTCCTGTTCTCTCTGCAGGTGGAGGATCCAGATCGACACAAGACAAAACTGCAGCCAGCAGCAGGAAGTAGCAGTAAAATGACAGACGTTCAAAATAAAAAGAGAGCTTATCCGAAATGTTCGACAAGAGCCTTTTGAAGGAGAGGAAGGACATTTGTAGTCATATATTTTTTTCAGAATTCAGTCTTCCAAGCTGCTTAAACTAAACCCAAACCCAAAAAGCCCAACTTCAAGAATTGGTAGATTATAACAAAATGGAAACAATAAAAAAAACTCTAAAATTCGAAAATTTCTAAGAAATTCATCATTCCACAATTCACAAAAATCCTGTGGCATTATCATTATGTGGGTTAAAAGAAGAGAAAAGGTTTTATTACAAACTCAACATATTTTGAGAGAGTTCAATACATTTTCAGCCAGTGTAGAATGATAAGAAAGGGTTAAACCATTAAAGAAAATTACATTTAATTGATTTCATGAGAATAGATCCTTTTTGAATGGGGTTTTCTTGAAACCAGACATATTTTTTGCAGCCAGACGCTGATCAGGGGAACCATAGCAAGGCACTTTTAAGAACATTTAAACTGGCTCCATTAGGATATCGGGTCAGTCATTCCATCTTTTGGATCTTGGTGATGCCTTAAAAAAATCATTCAGCATGGCTTGTTTTCTGGCAGAAAGGCCCAATGACAATGGTGGCCTACTTGTAATTTTCCTTAAATGTAATACAACCATTAAGTATAGTTGTCAAGGGAATAATTTCCTAACAAACATCTGTGTTTGCTGGTTATTAGGTTTAAGCTGACTTGAGGTCGGTAGCTTGTTTCACTAGCAAAAGCATCTCACGGTGCTATCGCACAATAATGCAACGCTTCCTGTGCAATCAGCAACAGAAGCACAGGCAACCTAAAACAAGCCTGTTAGCAAATTTGGACAGATGGTGTTGTTTGTTTGCAGTAATTATAGTGAAGTCTCAAAATGATATGCCAGTGATTCCCTGATGTCAAACATTGTCACAGTTGCACTTATAATATTGGTTTCAAGCAGTGCTGATGTTGCTATCTCCGTGTAGTGTGCGTGCATGTGTCTGTGTGTGTGTCAACGACCGCGGTGAACCTGTGACAATGGCTGTGTGCCATTTCAGCCGCTCTGTGCCTGAGACCCTAAGTTGAGCACAAAGCCGGCTTTATCCCTGCTCTGGGTGTTGTATCAGTGCTGCACGGCTGGATGCATAAGCACCAGACCTACCAGCCAAGTCACACACACTGACACACCGGCTCACAAACAATCCACCACACTTACACTTAGACCGGAAGCAGAGGATGTCAGTGTGTATGCATGCATACATGGGTGTGAATGCAAAGGGGGAAAAGACCACCAACCGCAAGAAGAAATGTCACAGAAACATGTTTCTGTTCTCATGTCAGACTGATCCTAACCAAAGCGATGCATCAAAGAGTTCCTTTCTCCTTTTTTCCCCCCAAACCCCCTCTAATGTCATATCCTTATTGATCTTTGTGCATTTAGCAGATAGTATTCCGTTCCGTAATTCTCTGTTTGTGTGTCCCTTCTCTCAGCTCACAGATGGACGGAGGAATTAGAATAAAGAGGACAAATCTCAGGACAAAGCAGCAAAAGGTGTTTCAAAAATGATTTACTTCCGAACATCACAGCCAAAGATGTGTACACAGGAACTGAGTACAGCCTTTTCACTCTAAACCCTAACCACGCACCCCGTTTTTATCTGTGGGCTTCTCATCGAACTAGCGTAAAGCTGTGTTTCCACTCCATCTTTTGTGTCGCACATGTAATGAAATTGAAATCATCAATCGTGGGTTTCTGTCACACTCATTTTCACTGACATTGCATCTTGGCTCTTTTCTTCTGACTGTAAGGCAGCACTGGGTTGACAGCAGAGGTTCAATTAGATCAGATGAAACATTAATGATTCCTGTGGTGAATTACAGCATTTCAGCCTGCAAGCGCAGACATTATGCATCAAAGAACAAAGCGGCTACATATGGGATCAAAGCCTATGATATCTCTATACCTAACAGGTACACCCTTTTTTACATGTGCAAATATGTGTGTATCTAAAAACACAGAATCAAAGCAGTCCTAAACCTATAAGTCATGGAGCTAACAATACGTATCTGTACATGTTTAAATACTGTATATGTGTACTGTATATGCTAAAGTTTTGAGAAAAAGTTGCCCTTTTTCATTTTTTTATCAGCATTTTGAAAATGTGAATGGGAAATAAGTGAATGCAAATAGTAAAATAAGGGGACAACATGCGAGGCATTGCGCCCAAACTGTCAAAGATTTGAATGACATAACTCTCCAGCTGTTTCTGGTCTAAGCAACAAATAGTGAACTCAAAGGATTGATCAGTGTCTTTCCCGATATGATATATTATCTCAGACATTCTAAATGGCAAACATCAATCCTGATCAAGACCACTAAAAGTTGGCCATCGACACCCCTATTCCTGTATTTATTTATTTTTTGTCTCATACCGGACAATCAAAACAGATCATATACCTGACCAAGGTTGGGGAATGCAAATGCCATCTACTGGCCAATAATCTTCGCACTTAACAGAGGGATTGCATGATAGTCAGAGTTGTACCAAAAGCTCAGCGTCGCAGTTGTGTCTGTGGGGTGAATTATGGCAGAAAAGCCAAAAAATGGTTGGGAGCTCTAACCCTGTCAACCACTGCTCAGCACTTTCTGAAAGAACCTACAATGAAAAAGTGTTCTGATAAGTAACACCTTCTATTAGATCATTTGGATGGATAGGTGTGCTGTTTATCTATGGTAGGGTGGGCCTAGTCATCTTTGTGGAAGTTTCTTGGACACCACCTTTGCAGACATTATTAGAGAGCATGTATGTCCCCTCATAGCAACGTTAAGTGCAGGAACAGTTTGAGGAACATGATAACGGCCTGTAGATTCCTATTGTCTCCATTCTCCACTTGAGTGGATACCTGTTTCATGAGTGGATTAATAGTGAACTTGCATTAAAGCGTATAATTATGTCTTGGAGCCCACTTGATGTGATGGATGTTCAGTCACATTGAGCCTGTTCATGTTCAGCCAAACATGTTTAAAGACCACAATGGGAGCCAAAAGCAGCAGATCTGGCATGGCGCATTCAAAATCCTCCTAATTTTCAGAATGAAAATACATCCAGCCAGAAACAGCTGCACAGGAAATGGTTTGTCAATGGCTCGGATCACGGACTCACTCTCTTAAATGTACATATCTTTGATGTTTGCCTTCATATGACCCCAAAGTTGCAGAGAGTGTATCCTTGCTCTGATAAGTTTTGACATTGAATTAACGAACGAACAACAAAAGATCCTGATTTGCCCTTGAAGGTTTGGAATGTGTTTAATAGACAAAGATGTACACGCACATGCTTGCTAATCAAGAAATGAAGCAACCTTTTTATGAGCTTTATATCATCAAGCCCACAAATTAATAGGGATTCTGGATGCTGAAAAATACCCCTCGGCAGTGTGTTAAAATCTCATCTATATACACAGCAAGTAAATGTTAACTGACCTATATCACTGCTGTGACGTATTGGAGTGCCGTTACCAGTAAAGATTAATAGATTAACTGTGTGATAGGACACGTTTGAGTAACAATTGTGTAACAGTTGTGAGCAGCTCTCTGAGGACAATATGTTTTTGAAAAAAATGCCTCTGTTTTCTTTCTCTAACATATGAGTGGAGTGATTGTGATAGCTCTTCTATATAACTATATAGCTTTTTGAGCTGTTCCTAGCTCAGAAGCTAATAGTGTTGCTGCTAGTTAGCTTAGCTGCTGACTATGCTGTTAAAATGTTTTCAGAGAGCAATAACCAAAACAAGAACAGCGCAGTAGTTTTATCATTAAAGATTGAGCTCCATATGAGAATGCGAGCAAATGGACATAAAATGACAGAGAGAATAAACCAAAAAACAGACAAATATTATGGCTCAAGCTGAGCGCAGGGATGCAAAACTGTCCAAATATAGCAGATTCCCCCCAAAACTTACATAAACATGACAAGGAATGTGTTTTTTTACTGGAGTGTGCCAAAAACTCTGTAAAAAACATATTAATAGAAACAGTGATGACAGACAGACGCAAGATGCAAAAACCTCTTACTTTCATTTGTTTTGTGATACCAGATTGCCTCTCTCTGGGGAACCTCTGTTTTGTCACAAATAAAGATTAAGACTTTTGATATTCAAATACTGATTACAGTAGCTCCATATACCAAATATTTTCACCATGGCTATTTTGTATTCAAGGAACAACAGATGGAAGTGGGAACTTGTGACTTGACAACTAATTATATCTGAGATTTTGTCCTACTTTGGTGGCGTTCCATTATCAAAAAGCCAACTTCAGCTCCAAGTCCAAGGGTTTTCGAATTTATTTTCCAGAGTGAATACTGTGGCTCAGAGATAAGTGAGAACTATTTGCTGTTGTACAATTAAGCTTCTTTACCATCAGCGACTGTGTTTGTGCGTCCCTTGGTGACTAATACCCTAGCAGGTGGCGCACACACATATTTAACTGTTATTTGATCTGTTTGTCTCTGAATTTCAAACGCACTCATCCATAATGAAAAAACTATCAGAAATTCATGGGTTAGGAATAGATTGGTCTAAAGGCCTTGTGTTGGGTTGGAATAGCAGGTATAAGATGAATGAAAGACTGTATGGATAAATTAATTGATGGATGGAGGACCGATGATTTATTTTACAAAACTTATTTCTTAATCTATCTAAGAGCTGGCCTGCTCTTTTCTGACATCTAGTGGCCATTTTTAGAACAATTTTGCTCATGTAATGTAATAGGAAAGAAAGAAAAACAGGCTGACAGTGGCAACTCATTACTCTTAGCTATGGGAAATTAAATTAAAGTAATCAAAAAATCTTTATGGAATACAATCCTCATCTATATACACACACCTACGAGTTTTCCCCCATTATTTAAACAGAATCTGTTTACATGGGGTGTTTTTATGGGTGGAATTTAGGTCAGACCTCATCTGCACAGCTGATAAAAACTGGCCTCACTGCTTTATTGATGTCACCATGGCTGGCAACACTCACATGGGAACAACAATGACATTTCACACTTCAGAAAGCTCGTGTGCTGTGAACTATGCCAAAAAACATCAATGTTTTACCTTTTAGAGAGCTGCAAATGTGTTGTGTAGTCGTAACCTTTTACATTGTTTACTACAAATTTAGTAAAATTTCATCTCAAAGATTGTAGTGGTAACAAATTTTCCCGTGGAATCATCAGATACAAATGTTATCATACTTGTCTATTGATTCTGCTTTCAAAACCAGAGAAAATTTTTCAAGTCTTAAAGATGAGGAAAAGAAAACATACTGGTGCCATTTATTCGAAGTCATGAGGATAGAGACATATTTTTTTATGGTTGTTTAACAATGCCAGATGTTAAAATCGTGGGATGTCAGCCTTTAGCTTATCTCTAGTGTAGTGTTTAAACATGTAAAACAAAAATGTTTGGCAAAGTCATGGATATTTGCTTCCTTCTGTGATGGAGTGAAACTCTGATACATCTCCACGGGATCAAATCATGAATCAAAGACACTAGAGGCTTTACTAGTTCCATTTGATTTCTTCTAACATACACCGCAGTGGCCTGTTCAGTTACAGTTAATTTATCTAGCACAGGTGCAAGGCTTACAATATTTGCCTACATTTGCATATTTTATGGACTTTCAGTTACTTATTTGTTTATGCCCAAGGTTAGTGCATAAACTGAATTCAAGTCTATCCTTCCACTATCCATGCTGATAGTTCTGCTTGGGACATCATGATAAAAGGCTTTACAGATGGAAGAAAAGTTCTTTTTTACTAGTGGCAGGAATTGTTGTCAACTAGCGCTGTATCTTCCTTGCTTCAGAGGAAAAAGGAAAAATAAAGGAGGAATTGAAAACTACAGTAGGGGAAAAAGGACAAAGGCACTGACGTCTGGGATTTTGAGCCTGAAGCTTTAAGTCGCCACCCCGGTTTCAGGACTGAACTCAGCACAGCTTGCTTCGGGGACATTTGTATTTCAGTGCCTAACCTGGGATGGAGAATTCAAACAACGACGTGGTGCTGCTGCATTGTTCCAAGTTGGTGACAAGTGAAGGGATGGATGTAGGTGCACGTTTAGAGCCAGAACAGGAGCTGTCAGGGCCACCCGAAGCCAGCCAGGAGACAGCAGAGGCGAAGGAAGGCTCCCCAACACTTGCGGACATAGAGTTACGGATACAACATCTTCAAACCAGGCGCATCCTCCTACAGACGATACAAAACTGCACGAAGAAACAAGCACAGAGCTTTGATGAGAATAGAAGAGAAAGTGAGTCACACAACAAACATTGTGCCGTGTGCAATTTCTTTACACAAACATACCATTCAATGTGTTTTTCTGGTCTATTCACAATCAATAATATAATTTATGGAAGCAGCGCTGATAGACTTCAAGTCTGTAAAAGACAGTGTCTTTCCTTCATTTAATAATTTTTAGCAAATGATCAAGTTTTAATTTGGGTCAAGTCAGGCCTTTGGTTGACCAGGAAGTGGAGGCATCTTGATGTAGTGTGGATGTCTTGAATGTTGGAGATTTATTCCAGCAACACTTAAGACACACATTCTTAGACCATTTGAACTCACTTTATGATTCTAAGATTCTCACATATCTCCACCGTTGCTTATTGATTAGTTTGCAAGTGGCCACAGCCAAAATGATAGACAACCAACATGCATTTCTTCTTAGACTTTATGCTTTGTTGTCAGCCTCAAGTGAGGACGGGGAGGAGGAGTGTGAGCTGGAGACCATTGAGAAAGAGCTTGAGGAATTGCGAGTGAAAAAAAAGGAGATGGAGAAAAACAGAGTGAGCTCCACACGCCAGGAAGACAGAGGCATGTGCCATTTCATGACTTTCCTTACACCTTTCCTCTCCACCGATGTCACAGCTGGTATTTTTAAATCTCCAATTTATCTCTCGTCTGTACTGCTCTTATTTAAAAAAAAAAAAATGCAGGAACACAAGAAGAGCGTTCCACCTATAAAGAGATTCCCCGCGGAGGAATCTACATTCTCCCTCCTCTCCTGCCGGATCTGAATGATAATACGGCGGCAACAACAGACCCCGTCGTTGCTGGTTCGTTACACCTTTGATAAAGCAAAGTCAAACACTCAAAGTGATGTTTTTTTATCTATTGGCTGACATCCCGTTTGCTTTGAAGATTATGTTCATTTACTTGTATCCTTGGTCTGTTTCTTAATCTTTGGGTGAAGTAGAGAACCTGGGTCCAACAGCCCAGGTCACAAAGTGTCCGACATGTAAAGAGGTCATTGTCACGGAAACCGGGAGCAAAATAAGTGAAGCAGCGTGGATGGTGTGCGTTCTGAGCTTCATGATGGGGTGAGTTATGGGGAAAGGGACACTACCAAACCTCTTGCAGCTCCAATCCCCAAAATGACTGAAAGGATTGCAGTGTAAAACAGAAATTAAAACAGAGCACAGTGTAAATTCTATGTATTTCATATAGATATATGAAAAAAGATAGAAAGCATCAAATGGCAAAGAAGTCAGTTGACAATATAAAGACTGTTGCTGTTGGCTTATGCTGAATTTTGTGGTATCTTTATGTGTTGAAAATTATAAAACAGGGAAACAGTAAGATGAAGGGGCCTAAAATAAACACCTTAGAGAGGCATAGTCTTTGGGAAGTAATGTGAGGCAAAGGTTCAGCAACCTTCAAAAGATAATTAATGCTTGCCTTCGGAAAATTTAGCAGACTTGACATACCTGCACCTGTAGAGCATTAAATCTGAAAATGCTCCAGAGAACAAAGAGATATCTTTATGGACAAGGGGCACAGTTTAAGATCAGATCTCCTTGGTTCCAGGCATCTAAAAGAGACACAGATTGTCATCGAAAGGTTGGAGAAATAGTCATTAACATTATTAAATGCCTATTATGCAAAGAAGAAGCCATGTGTGAAGATGAGCATCGAAATGCCGCCATCTTCTTTGGCCCAGAATTTATTTAAAAGAGAAGAATTGCTCTGAGGAAGCAAGATTTGAAGTTCTCTTCAGAGATTATGGCAAAGTGTGGTCTAAAGAGGAAGTGGAGCATCTGACCAAACTAAATACACTACATCTTAGATGTTAAACCTATAATGCCAAATGTATCATATTTGATACATACGGTTTCTGAAATGTTTTGGGTCTGACACCTTTTGCATAATTTGAAGGTAAAAACCTTTGCTCAAAATCCTATTGTACACGATCAGATATACCTGATAACTAGACTACTGATAACCAGACTACACAAAAAATAATCTTATCGCATAGTAATAAATTATTAATATCAAAAATGTATTTCTGTTTTTTCTTTTTACATATTTTTAGGGCAAATAAGGAATTCAAACCAAAAAAAGTCCTTTTCTGTTTTGTCTTATTCGTGGATCAGGCTTTAAAGGGTTACGGTGCTGTTGTTAGCATCTATGGAAATAGTAATGTTTCTTGTGAATGCTGAAAGGTCTATGCAGATTTCAGAGCAATGATTACATTTTCTGAAAATGCTTTGCTCCTTTCAGCAGCATGCTGAAACACATGCCTTTAACACAAAAAAACACCTGTTATGAGGTTGTGGCATAGCTGTCCAGGTTTTCAGCCGCTGAAGATAAGGGTGACGCAGGGCTGCTAGTTTTCCATATCAGATAAGGGTGGGACAACACCGCTGCCATTGTGTTCCGCAACGTTTCATTTGGTTCCCAGATGTTTACAGACTAGTAATAATTGCTGCCGTAGTCATTCATCATAACACTTCTAATGAAATAGTCAATTGTGGGACTTTATATTTAGTTGTTTTGTAAGTTTTATACTGAGAATGAAATTTTTTTGGGGGGAAGTCTTACTATTAACTGCGGCCTGTTTTGACATTTGTCCAGTTAATTGCTATTTTTTAATAGTTAGTGTTGTAGTATTAAATGTCAGTAAAATAAGATTCTGTGGATTTGCAGCAATTTCACTCCCATAGAAGTTTAAATGCATGTTTTTCTACGTTTTTTTCTCCCAACAGCTGTGTCGCAGGGTGCTGTTTGATCCCCTTCTATTTGAAGCGCTTCAGGAGTACCTGCCACAAGTGTCCTCTCTGCCAGGCCCACATTCACACACACCAGCCATTGTGATACAACCTTCGTTCGGAGGGGGCTGTGCCCATGTTTGCTGCTTAGACTCATATCCATGAGTTTGGACTATGGTGGACTGCGCACAGTGCCTGATCGCTGCAATTAGTTTGACATGCGGGCCTTTTATCAGGATCGCATTTTGCAAATGATGCTCCAACTCCAAAAACTTTCATGATGTTACCTGTCTGTGAGGAGAAGCAGGCCGGTCAGGTTTTACTCGGTGCACTTTATGGAATTTGTGTTCCACAACCCCGAAATTTGCCTGTCACAAATGCTGTGCCATCACAACATGATGCAAAGGGAAAGTTTCCGGTCCCTGTTAACTTTCCACAACTGTATATAGTTTCAGACACTTTTTGACCTCCATTCCTTCCTCATATGTTTGCGCAAAAAAATTCAACCATATTATTTGCATGTTTCAAACACTTACGTCATACATAATACTGCTGGAGGTTACAGTTTGGGGTGCAGAGTAAGAGAAAGAGATACAGGACAGAAATACAACGAAATAATATGAGAAAACCTGCTGCTGCATCTTGCAGAGACAAGGTGTGGGGAAACCGGGACCACCTACAGGAAGAAAAATTGAGAAATTTGCATAAACTTTGACAAACTCATCCTGATTCTAATTCTCAGCGGCATGATGACTTCCAAGAAAAAACATTTGGAGGCTCGTCAGAACAACTCTACCACTCATTCAGGACTTGTCATTCGTGCAGAACTGTGCTAAAGTCTTTAGCACACAAACTGGGATGAAAACTGGGAATCATTTGCAGATGTGAAACATATATAGAAAAACAGTATATAAGGCAAAGAGTTGGTACAATTACTGCTAAGCTTGAACACTAATGTCATTCATCTGTCCTTCTGTCCACCTGAATTTCTGGAATAGTTAAACATTTGGTTTATTTCTTTATATAATTCATTACTTCCAGCTGCGTTATATTTGGAATTGTACTTTTTCTTTTGTAGAAGCATCCCAGGAAATGAGAACTACTTCTGTGTCCTTGCAATCATTGCAGACACATCAGTGGTCCATCAACAGTTAGGATGTCAGGGGAAAAAAAAAACAAAAAAAAACACTTTTGAGTAGTAGAAAATGTAAAAAATGCACAGTTCTGTAACTTGATTTGTTGATGTGTCAAACAAAGGATCAAGTGCTCTAAGCTGCTGATCTTTTCTCTGTTTATTTCACCTCAACTTGCGTCTGTGGAAAATACATTGGCGCATACCCGAGAGAAAAATGCACTGCAACCCCCCCCCCTCTCCTGCAAGTAGTTCTGCTCAAGCTTTTCACAGTACACCAAATTTTATTGACACATGATAGCAGACAGTGCTTATATACATCTTTTAGAGTATGTACAAAATAAGAGAGCCCATGGATGTTACACATGTAAAAAAATATGCATTACATCTATATAAATATGTACACAATGTGCAAAACATATGGCGATAAAAACAAGAGGCATGGCATGGTGGGGGGGGGAGTGGATTTGGACAGGAGACTCGGCTACAGCATGCAGTAGAAATCATTCTGGGTTTTCCTTTTGACTGTACGTCAGCTGACGCCCTCTTTCGAGTGGATCCTCCAGCAGAGACCTCTTTTCACCCAAAACAGAAAGCAGGGTTAGTCAGCTGACGACATCCCCCCCGCTCAGACATAGAGTCTTTTTAACTGTGTCGAGAAGGCTCTTCCGATAATAAAAACCAAGGCAGGATTTGACATACAGTACAATGTATCAAAGGAGAAGAGCCATTATTGCCTTTTAGCTGTCCTCGTCTGGCCGATGACTCATTGCGAGTGGTGTCAGGTATATGTTGACACACACAACACGCACACACTTACTGCAGCCAAAAGGTTTGTGCATGTCACGGTGAGTGAGAGACAGAATCCTCTTTGACAGATTTCACATGAGCTTTACTTTGAATCCTATTTTAAAAGTTAAAAAACAAAAACGAAGAGATAAATACAACAAAAGTGTGATGATTAACTAAAACACAACAACTTGTTCAAATGTCTTTTTGGTTACAGAATATCAAACATGCCGGCCCTAGATAAAAGCCAGCAGGCTAAAAAAGAACAAAACAAACAACAACAAAAAAGTGAACTCGTCTACTCTTCTAAGATACTAGATCATTTTAACCAACACCACAATGGAGGAAAGAACCGTGGCAAATGAGTGTGACCCCAAGGTGCTTAAAGTGAAGGCGATTGGGAGGATGCGGTCCTCCGGAAGGGGGCGTGGTTGGGGTGGGGGGGCAACACAGAACACAGTTGGGCGCAGAGGGTGTGCGTGCAGTATTTGGCATTACGTATTCGGATGGACACAAGTTTTGCGATTTGAGATTAGGAGGATGCACGAAGAATAACACTCCTTGCAGACAAAGCGGTGTAAAACATTCCATTTTCAGGGATGACCCTGGACTGTCAAACAGCTGGAGCTGGACATCTGCAGACGCCATGGGAGAAGAGAGGCTCTGCCCTCTGGTGCCCGTGGAGGTAAAACAGGATGAAGTGGTTACAGTAAACTGAACATCATTGGTACATTGAAAAAAAAGAAAAATATCTCTTATCTAAAAGTTCCCCACAGTCATTGGCATAAATAGTTGGGCAAACTTAATCCACAACTCAGCATTTAAGTGATAGAAGTTACAGCAGGTGGAATTAAATGAAACGCTGCCATGCTACGCCTTCTTTATGCCACCCCCACCTATGGAAAGGTGCCTGTGCATTTTGGGCCGCGCCCACGGACTCGACGCGAGGATAAAAGCAGTCCAACAGTCATCTAAAGCCGATCGGTGAGGACGAAGCAGAATGTGCCAAGCTGAGAGCGAAGGATTTGATCCGACAGCTTTTCAGCAGATTTGTCATTTTTCATGGCCCCCGAGGCCAGGAGAGAACTTGATACGATTAGACGCCAAAACGATCGTGCACACGGACGGACAAGTACATGCAGGAGACGGGGAAAAGGCGGCGACATGCGCGAGATGATGCAGCGACGTCAGCAACCACGGATAACCTCCAAATAGGAGGTTGGCTGCTTTACAGAGACACGCTCACACACACACACACAGACAAAGTGCAGGGATACTAAAGCTAGTCAAAGACATCTTCATTCCATCTTAAACCTCGCCGCACAGGCATTTTTTAACTGTCGCGCGCCTCAAACTGATTTGTTCCCATATGGTCTTTATTTTTCTGAATCAGAAGGGGAAAAAAGCTGCCAACTTTTTAAGTAAAGTCTGATTTTCCCTTTTTTTTTTGTCGGATGTTTTCAAAAGTACATTCATGATAAGAGACTTGGTCGACTGTGGTATTGCCGTGACGCCTTGCATCAGGTTCCCCACTTCACAGTCATAGTGATTACTTGTCGATAGCCACCCTGGATGTGCGGCCTTCGCATTTCCTCGCTCTTATCTCGTCAGAAATTTCCCTCCTCTTTAGTGCATAGCTCTCGTTTTGATGGAGGAGCTCTCTCTCTCTCTCTCTCTCTCTCCTCCAGGCGGATTTTTCCAATAGAGTCGCTGCCCCGGTCAGCTTTGCCGGAGCAGAAGAAAAACAATCACGTCTGATATGAACCTATCAGATGGTCAGTTGGATGCTGCCCACAGTCTGTGGGAGACTGGACCAGTGTGGACGGAGGAGGTCTGACCTCTGCTTAGTCCCTTTACAACTTGGAGGCACACCAGCACTTAAAATTAGAAAAGAAACCTAATAAAAAAAAGGCTGATATGAGTCTTCAGTCCCTAAGAAAGGCTGAGGCGACTTAACCACTGGAGTGGTTACGTCTAAAACTTGGAGTCTTACATCTTCAAAAACTGAATTTCGTTTTAAGAGAATGTTTAGGCTCAACCACCGGGCTTTGTAGCCACGCGTGGCACAGGAGGCTTCAGTGGAACAAAGACCCGTCCAAATGATTAAATACAGAGCTCTGACAGTAAAACTGTCTTCACTGTCATCTCCAGTGGAATCTCAGTCATCAATACTACGCGGGCTCTGTAGGAGAGGAAAATGACAGGTCTATTAGTGTGATCTGAACTGTATCTACAAAGAGTTTGTTCTGCTAGACAGCATTTAACTCCGTCTCCTCGGCTCTGTCAATAATCGATAAAATCGACCAGTCTGCTGTTTAGGATCCCTGTATCACCTAGGCTTGGACTTTCGCAAGCCGGTCAGCGGCAGTCTCTTTCAGACTGCTGCTACCTTTTACCCTACCGCTGGGGTTGGTATTCTCTTTCTTGTAGAAAAGTGGGACATATTACAGATGCTGGATGATATGACACTGAAGTGCCATGCTTCCTTCTCCTTTGGCTTATTTATCTGGCCGCCATTTCCATTCCATTTCTTTCCTTTATCCTTCATTCCTTTACTGCTCTGCACGCTCTCCTCCTTCCCCAAACTGATCCCTCAGTCCCAGTGCAGCTGCAGGTCGTGCGTATCCAGGAAGTCCGCCGGGATACCCAGCACCCCCACGGGACCTGGAGGCATGGTCAGGTCCACCCACTCCATGTTGTCCAGAGCCGGGTCTGACAGGCCCATGTTGAGTGAGGACGGGGGTGAGGAGGAGTCACAGAAAGACAGCTCGGATGTGTCCATGGGGGAATAAGGCTGCTGGTCCATTAGCTGAGCCTGCAGCTCCTCCATCAGGCCCCGAGTGCGAGGGTCAGATGCTGATGGGGTGTCGGCCAGCGTCCGTTCCAAGAAGGCTTCCAGCTGATTGTCTGTGGCCAGAGAGGAGAGGCTGTGCAGGCCGGGGCTCATGATCGAGCTCATGGTGGGAGGGGGGGCCTCCTGGATCTGTGGGGGGGGTCTGGACTGGGCGGTGTTGACTTGCAAGGTGGTGACATTGGCTGTGACTTGAAGGGTCTTGGACATGGAGGCTGGAGAGTCTTGTTCAATAAATGGAGTTATTTCTGGAAAAGGGGACAACAAGTTGGGGAAGAAAACATAAAGAAAGGTGTTGGGCTCTTTAAAATCACACAGCTCAGAAACAAAGCTGTGTATTAATTAGCTTAGCTTGAATTAAAGTCATTAGTTACCTCCACTCTCTATGAGGATGTCAAACAAGTCATCCATGTGCTGGCTTGTTGCCGTGGGATCCTGGAGAGATGTAGAATCGACATCAGCACAGTCAGGAAATACTGATTAAGCTCATTTCAAATGGCCCAACTGCTCAACCTGTGAGGGGGGATTTTCTAATAACTCTAAATGGATGCAGTCACACTGTTGTTCCATTACTACACCGGCACTATTTACACTTGTTCTATACCCTGCTTACACACTCACGGGGAAAAAACGAAGGGGAAACGAGGGACAATAGTGCGGGTCAAACACGTTTATGTGAATCCCACCTGTGGCGCATTGTTAATGTGCAGGTTGCGGCTTTGTTTGATGGCGTCTTCATAGCGAGGGGGCTCCTTTGTCTTAGGAGGCTGAGCAGCCAGGGCAGTGGGCTGGAGGATGAAGGCAGGTTGTGGCGAGGATGCCTGAGAGAAAAATTGAATGTTGTATTTGTAATGACGGCAACTGTTTGGAATGAGAAGATGTCGACTAAATGCTCTGTCAGGATACCTTACTGAGGGGTCCGTTGGAGATCTGATGGTTGGGTGAAGCCCGTGGAGACACTCTGGTCTCTGGGGAGCTTCTCAGGAAACACTGGGGACTCAACTCGGCCATCGTCTGGTTCTCCAAGCCAGTAGAGTTATTGCACATTGTCAGAGTCTGTGGAACAACAAGCAGAATTTCTTTAATTTTTGGATCATCCACAAAAACTGAATGTGGCAGAAATTCGAGCTAAAGCATGTATAAGCATATGTGTGACTGACTTGTATTAGTGGCTGCTGGCTGGGTGCCATATCCATTTTGGTGTTCTGCAGCTGAGGAGCTGAAGAGTACACCAGACCAGGATTTGAGGCTGTTGTCTGGAGAACCGGCTGAAAGGAGACAGAGAATTAAGATGAGCACGCTTGGATCTGCTATTCTTCAAAGAAAAACACAAATACAATCCTGAAGAGGTACCTGCAGGCTGACGGTGGTGCTTGGCAGCTGAATCGCTGCGGCGTTGTTTGGTAGTGACACCGGGAGGATGATCTGAGCTCCTGCCTGGCCAGTTGTGGTCAGCAGAGTCTGAGGCTGACCCAGCACCTGGGACACCCCGCCGGAGTGGCTGATGAAAAACTGCTGCAGATTGGGAGCGGCGGGCTGCGGCTGGGCCTGGAATTGGGGACTCTTATGGAGCTGTGGGCTGGTGGTTACTTGAGGCTTGATCTGGGTAATGAGCCCCGTTTGGGTCTGGAGATTCAGCGGCTTGCTTGAGGACACAGTCACATCCTCCAGCTTTACCACTGTTGGGATGGCGGCTGTGATGGATGCACAGTTTGATTGGACCGTGCCCTCCATCTTTACAACATTTGAGTTGAGGAGAGTCTGGACGTTGTTGACAGCAGTTACAGAGGAGAGTGTGGGAGATGCAGAGGTAGAGTCGGGGGTACAGCCTCCTTGACCTCTCTTCTCCACCTCGAGCTGCATCTTCAGCTCTTCCACCAACCTCTGCTCCTGCTCCAGCTTTCTCATCAGCTCCTCTATCTGCCGCTCCTTCTCGTGGAGCCGCCTGTCCTTTTCCTCGGGGACTTGGAAAGTTGGCAGAGGTGAGGGCTGCATTCCGGTCGAGCCAAAGCTCCTGATCGGAATCTCAACTGGAGCGTCAGACATGCTGACATCCTGCTGGTGGGTCGAAGGATCAGCGGGAGATGGCGAAACCGGGGGTGTGGGGGTCATGCTCTCTAGAGCCACCTGCTGGGATGGAAGGACTACAGCAGGTGTGGTCGCTGTGGCGACCTCCATGGGGACGGATGCGAGGGATGTAGTGGCGGGAGCAGGAATGGTGGATGTAGTGGTGCTGCTGGGGTTGTCATGGAAAGGCTTCAGTCTTTCTATCAGATCTGTTTTGGTTCCTGACACTGGGAGGCCTCGTAACTTTAGCTCCAATTTGAGCTCAGCCACCTAAAAGACGAACGCGAAGACAGTTGCGTCAAGTTCACACCAGAATAAGAGACAGTTTGTATTAGATCTCACGGGGATATTCATCATAACTTTCATATTGGATTGTTGTGAGGCTGTGTGCCTTAAGGGTAAAGTGGCAACACCAGCACTGATCAGAGGGAGAAAAAATATCTTTCCCCATAAATGATTTTGCCAGATACCTTCATCTCCTCCAGATTGGTTGGCAAGACACCTGGCTTGCGAGTGGACAGAGAGTTGTTTGCCCGAGTTGGAGCGGGAGGTGGAGGAGGAGGTGGCGGTGCAGTGGGCAGAGAAACCACTATGGAGGTCGGCAGTGTATTGGCAGCACCACCCTGAGCCTCTGCCACAGGCCTACAGCGAGACAGAGATGGGAGGTTGGTGTTATTTGTGCAAACGTATGTATGGGTGAATGAACCAGAGGAAGAGGAGGGAAGAGGAGGGAAGCGAAAACAGCTCTGAACAGACAACCGGACACAGATAGAGGAGGAAAGCGAGGAAACAGAGATGAGTGCACCTTGTACTACCCCTCACTAACGAAGCACCGGTTCAGTTCAAAGGCAGTTGTAACGCACCGCTTCAGTGAGAGCATTTGTGATAACAGCTGCTGACACAACATCCTGTCAGGTTTTTTTGTTTTTTACAGAATTAGACAAAGGCTGTTGTTGGAAAATAGCTACTGGGCTAGGATGTTGCTGTGCACAACAGAAACCTGCCTTGGATTTCAGGCATTTTACAGAAAATATGGTCAGTAGGGGTAAAAAAAAAACAACAACTCCACAAATCACTCTGTAACTTTGGCAGAAAGAGAAACACGAGAGCCGCCGTTTGCCTTGTTTTGTACGCATACTTGAGTGGTGCTGGTAGGATGGTCTGGTAGTTGTAGTGCTGCTGCTGGCTGATGATCTGCAGCTGCAGGAACAGCTGCTGCTGCTGCAGGAGTCGGGCGTATGAGGAGTCCATGGGCGCTTCGCTGGCCTCCTGCTTCTGGTCAGGAGGAACGTACTGGTGGTACTTGAGCTTTTTCACCCTCGACTTTGGCTCTTTGCCCTTCTTGCTCCGGCTCTTCTCTGAGGGAGCTTTCTGCTGGCTTTGCTGTTGTGACACGATGCAAAGAAGAGTTCATAATGAGGCACTTTACTCGACAGGCGAATAAAAGGACTGAGAGGATGTTATGTTTATAGCGGTGGGGTGAGGTGGTGGGGGATATGGAACTTACTTTCACCAGAGTCGGGCCTGGTTTGGGTGGTTGAGCAGGAGGCAACGTTATCCGGGTGATGGGCTGCTCCGTATTCATAATTGCTTTTGAGAAGTCTGGCGTTTGGAAGGCCTGCTGAGACAAACACCATAATGCATAAAGGCTTGCTTCAAGTCTAATGATCGGGTTTGGAAATGACACAAACCCTGTGAATACAGCACATGAATGTGTGAATGAACCTGCATCATGCTGCCCGGGAGTGGTGCTGGTGCCTGAACCGGAGAAGGCGTCTCTGGGACTTTGCTGTCCCCTGGCGAGGGGACAGAGCTCTGAGACTCCTGGCTTGCCGGCTGCTCCGGGGACAGAGCATCGTTGCTGTCTTCATCCAAAACCTTGGCATAATTCACCTGATCTATAGCACACAGCCACAGTTGAACAGCAGATTTCTATAACTTTCCCATCAAACAGAGATCTGTTTTTATCCATTTGGCTGCATGGTGAAGCACCAACTGTGAGGACAGAGCCCGATGTCTTACCTATGATCGCCTGTTTGATGCTGGAATCAACCGGCAGGATGTTCTTCTCCACAAGCTCCATGGGGCCCGGTCGCTGGGCGATTTTCTCGTTCAGGTTGTCGGCCAGCCGGGCCCGTTTCAGCTTCATCTGTGTGGCCTGCAGTGAAGGCTCTGCTCCGGTCTCTGGTTTACCAGAAACGTGAAAAGTCAGTGCATCGCATCAATCTGGGGCATTAAAAATCAGCTTTTGGCATATTGTTTTTAGAGATGGTACAGCTTTTGTGACATCACACACTGCCTATTGAAAAAATAAACATGAGAACCGTTGGGGGAGGGCTTTAAAGGGGTCAGAGGATAAGCAAAGTGTTTGCTTCTTTCACAGATTCATCATCAGTACCTTGCAGGATGTGCATCCTGACTAACTCTGCTCGTTCTGGACGACTGCGGATCTTGTGTTTGAGGAAATTCTCGGTCTGAAAAGACAAACGCCGGAAAAAATCTATACATTTGAAGGCGTTGCGCTTTAAAATCTTACTAGCACCTTTCATACAAATCCAATTCTTCAAAAGCAGATATTTCACAAAGATGAACTTTTGTTATGAGATTTTGGTTTCCACCCACTTACCCTGGCTCTTTCCAAACTGCGAATCTGCCCGTGGAAAGCTGCCGGACTCTTCAGAGCTGCAACACGCAACATTTTTGATTAACATCAAAGGTCTAGGCACAGATCGACAGCTCACGAAAGCTGTTCATTATTTCAGAATTAGCATCGAAAACACACCCACGCGACTTCAGGCCGTTCGGCTACTCACGTGGCATGATGCCCTGATCAACCAGCTGCTCCCGGGTTCGCCTCTGCTGAAGCCTCAACTGCAGCACTGAGATAAAAAGTGAATAAAATGTATATATTTAAATAAACAGACAAAGGGCATTTTAGCTGCAATGTGAAGCTGAAGGAAAGAACAGGAGAAAACAAAAAGCAAACAAAACAAGCAGGACAAAACAACAGAAAGATTAAGAAACTAACAAGAGGAATATAAATGTGACGAAACATAAACCACTCAAGCAACTAATAACCACTTCAGTGTGTATTTCTTTCTTTAGAAGATGTGACCACTTCATAAAGGTGTTCCTTTAAAAGGCACTGGGAAAGTTTCTATTGAAAGAATCCATCTCCATCCTCACTGAACACAAGATTTAGGCTTCAAAACAGTCATGCCCTTTTTCCAGTGTATATCTATGAGCTTATGTCCAGATAAATTAATATACAGCAGCCTCTTCATGCAATAGTCTTTCAGGTTATATTTCTGGATGCAGCAGCGGACTGCGTTGAGAGAAAATGGTTTTCGGAGGCGGTGGCTTTTTTCATCAGGGCAAAATCAGCTTTAAGTCTTTAGACTCCCTGAAACATTTCATTTGTAGGAAGATTTAAATGGAAAAGTCTTTTTAAAAAAAAGTATGGTGACTTTCTGGCCAAACGCAAAGGCTTGACAGCTATTCTCTAAGAAAGCCGACACCTTTGTTGACTTTGCCCAATCTTGACACCCTCACCTTTTGTCAATCAATGTTCAGATTGAACAGCCAGACCTAAATTTGTTAAAACATTCCTAGTAAAATTGGTCGGTAGACACACCAGAAATAACTTTGTCGAACTTGTTTTAGTGAATAATTCAGACAAATTGAGTTAACTTTTTTCTATTGCATTCTAAGACCGCTCTTTGATTTTATAGAACTGAGGCTTGTGAAAGACAGAAACAGCCTTCAAATTATCGACTTATTCATTTGGATTCCCAAGGAAAAATAAATTATTGAGATAAATAAATAAAAATAACATTTAAAAAGTGATTGATTAAACTGAATACCTTAACAATTAGAAATATCCATACCCAAGAGTTGAAGCGAAGAAATGCTGGTCCTGTGCATAGTTTAATTATATCTATGTTACCCCAGTTCTTCCTCTCTAATCTAACCTTTGTATCCCAGCCAGTTAAAATTGTGATATTTTCGGGCAGTACAACATTCTGCCACAGTGCAGTGGGAGGAGGAGGGAGGTTGTAATGTCTAACTCACTTCTGATGGAGTAACGCCATTAACTGCATCGCAAACATGACAAAACAGTGACACTGATAAAGGCATTCTGCAGCTTTGGAAGAGTGCGTACGTGTGTGTGTGTGTGTGTGTGTGTGTGTGTCTGTGTGTGTACACTCTTTAAACAATGTGAAAAAGGGAAGCAGTGGAAGTATGTGCGTTTTTTTAGGACACTCGGGCAGATTTCCTATTAACCTTCTTGTCCTTGATTCCACCAGGAAATACCACTGCTCAGCCTGACAAACACAATTTGACCTGTGACGCCATCAGTGATAGGAAGCTGTTTAGACACACAAACCACAATAAGAAGCACCAGAGGAAGCGGTATCTTACGGGCCAATAAATTCATCACAGTTAGAAATATTTTTGTGTTATCGCTAAAAGTCTGATTGAAAACAATGACTTCGATTGAAACAATTGAAGAAATTGACAGCATCGGCGAAAATGCATCTCGACCAGAAAGTAATACAATGGAACTTAAATAATCCTAATTGGCTGTCCCTGCCTTTGGCAGGCTAAATATGAGCGGTTCAATGCTTTATGTCCAAATTCACCACACAAATGTGGTCTTTAAGGAACTTCAATGTTGTTGTTTTTTTTATTTCAGACACCTAGGTTATGAAATCAGGGTTTTGTTAGAGCAGAGCGGCAGGCTGGAAATACCTTTTTACTGCGAGTTGACCGAAGTCTGGATTTCAGTCACAGAGCCTGGTGTATTTAGCCCTCTGACAAAAGATGTGCAAGACAGCCTCTTTTGTGGGAATTGAAATCGAAATAACTGGCTTTAACTGTACTTACATTACGTACTTGCATTGTATAACAGTAGACATAAAAAATATTTACTTCACCTGCCTTCACCATTGAAAAAAAACTTGCTTTGAGTGCTTCATTTGGATTAATGTGACAACATAAACGCTCTGCTTGCAGGGATGTAGCCCAATATGCTACTCTTCCATCCAGATTCTCTGTCAGTGAAACTTACAGTAATGATCAGGGTAACATTTATAATTTGGACTTAAAAATCAGGGTTCGTGAAAAAAATAAAACTTTCCCACTGTGGATCTGGTAGGTTAACAAACAGATACTTAGTATCTTAGATACTCAGCTGGCACTGGAGCTCTATTTAACCGCGGCAGAAGAGTTGGAGCTTTAAAAGAGCAGCCACGCCCAAAATAATGGAATATCACGTGGAAATGGGGATGATGATTTTTTTTTCACAGATGTGAATACAGAGGATTAGAATGATTATGCAAACGGAGAGTCAGCTCAAATTATTCATGAGATTATATAACACATATTACGGCCTGCATCCAGAAGGAAAGAAAATAAGCCCATTTCCAAAAATATTCCACCATTTCCCTGAGGAGGCCAAATGAAAGGACAACTAATATTTTCAAGACATGTTTCTATCAGAATACCAAAAAAAAATGAACCCAGTTTTTACGACAGGACTCTGAACTGAATGGAAATATTCCCTTAAGAAGCACTGTCGACTTTTACAGTGGGACAGTTTGTTAGTTTTAAAGGTGCTTCTTGAGAAACAGATTCATCATTTCCTTTCCAACAACCTGAGATTGTGCTGACAGAAGCGCTTTAGCTTCCCTGTCCGTGTCCAGACTCGGGGCTTCTGGGCACTGACGACAGCAGACAGATTAACACCTGCGTGGCTAAAACAAACATGGGTGAGGGGATTTTGCGGTTGGCAGAGCGCCGAAAATTGCTCGGTTGCTGGAAATTATGAGGTCAGAGTGGTGGTGGGGGTGAGCGGGTGTTACTACTGTTGACATTCCACAGGAACTTTCCACGGCCAAACCTTTTTTATTATCTTTTTCAGCTTTGCTCTCCTGGGGCCGACTGCAGCAACAGTCGTCAGACTGAGTGACTGAACTGATCTCCTCTCGCCATCTGAACCATGATTAGTAGCTGGCAGAGGCTGCTGTGAATATGACTCGCTCCTAAAGCCTTCTAATAGCGTACCCATCCATCAGTGTCAGAGTCGGTTCCATTTAGCAGCTTTGGAAAAAACAAAACAAAAAAATAACACGCATCTTGAGCGTTAGGAGAAGCTAGCCAGCCAGCATGATGAAGATAATTGCCACGTATACCACAAAAAGAGGCCAAATCTGAAATTTTCAGATGATTCGAAGGGTGCGCTTGCCTCGTTGTATGAGCTGCTGTACATGATGGAGGCGTTCTAAAGAATAAAGACCGAGGGCTTTGTGACTCAACGGTGTTATGTGACAGCCTTCATGTCACGAGTGAAGTTTATTTAGTTTTCCTCTTTAGTACACTCAGAGATAATGTCAGAAGATTCTGCCTAACTTGAGCTATGGAATTCCACCCTAAAGCTTGTTTTATATCATGGAGAAAATGAATGCGAGGTGATGAAAAAAAAAAAAAGACCGGTTGTATTACATAATATATGTCAAGATGCACTACCAAAAGGAAACAGCAGGTATGGGACACAGGAGAAAACAAAGACAAGACAAATGGTGCCATCGGAGTTCGGTGTCATCATGCGGCATTCCCTCACCATTTTTGCGTTCGCTGAGCGGCGGCAGACTCTGAGTGGGCTGCAGGGACAGCTCCTCCATCTCGTGGGTCACCGCCTCGCTCTGTGGACTGGGCACCAGCAGATTTGACATCCCACCCTCCTCCTCAGTCCCGAGCTGCCCCTGGAAAGCCTGAAGCTCCATCGTGTCTCAGGTCAGGCTTTTTGGAAGGTCAAGCAAGAGGGGGGGGGGGGGGTCACAGGTCACTGTCCCTTTACGTTACGTCTCCCTGCTACCTTTTAGGAAATGAGTAAGAAAAGATAGAGAAAAAAAAAGAGAAAGTGACTCCTCCTCTCCTCAATAAGAGGCAAGCATTTTGTGGTCTCCGGAATAAAACCTGGTAATTTCGAATCATTACAGCTATGAGTGCTTCATATAACTGGTGAAATACTAAGGCATGGCATTTCACTTCAGCCATCTGGAAGAATTCAGTCCCAGCCGAAATTACTCATTAAAGTAGCCGGCTGACGATTGCATTGCACGACGGCAGTTTGCTCATGAAAGTTCTCTCTGTTCAGACAGGCCTCGTGCTCTGGTGCGTGATGTCACTGTGGTGGTTCAAACATTTGGGGGAGCAAAGCAAACATCTTAGTTTCCATGGATGCCATTTTTCGCTCTACAGCTTATTATTTTTTAAACCATGTTGGCGGTCTTTCAACCATCATCTGCTAAAGTCTTTAGAGGGTTGCAGGATATGCAATAAATGCAACTCTTAACAATTCACTTATAGAAAGAATTTATTTAGCCACACCAATCTGACAATCGGCATCAATTTGATCTAAATAACTATTTAAAAGAGGCTAACACTACAAAATCCCCCCATGATCAAACTTTTGGATCCTGATCACTCCTCTATGCTGGTTCCCTGAAGTATCTCCTAAACTGGCCATTCATTCCATTTTTGCAGGAAAGGTTGGACGGTTGGAAGCTTGCTGTTTAGCAGGATAAATCATATCCTGCGTTTGATGTTTACCCCTTGTCACCAGTCCCCACGCCACACTAAAACACAAGACTGATGTTGCCATCCAATTTGCGGCTTTTGATGAAGCAACTTCTGCAAAGGACTGAAACGAGCCCCATTTTTGGGGGCTGAAAATACATTGTTGTCAAAACCTTAAACAGCATGCTTTGCCAATGCATGGCTTTCAGGCAAACAGTCACATGTATTATCAACTTTGGTGAGTCTACTCTTACCTGCAGTAGCAGAAGACAAAGGGACAGGTCAATGGGATGTCTTGGCTAGATGTTGACAAGCGCCATGCTAGGCCATTCAGTAGAACCTAGTGGGAGATAAAAGCGCACATTACAACATAAAGCATGTTTTTCTGAGACTCTTTCCCCTTCGTAGGCTTATTCTGGCTGATGCTGATCCATCTAGCTCTGTGCATAACAAATTATTAACCTTTGATGATGGAAATTGCTCGCAGCCTTTTTCTTTTGTGCGACTGGGGCTACACCACCCGATCTGATGAGATCGGGGGGTGAGCTCAACATTAAAAAGTAAAAAATAAATAAATAGGTACATTTTAAAAATTAATTAATTCAAACAAACAGGCAAAACAGCATGCACGGTGCAAAGATGCTTAAAATAAGACTGTTTGAAGATGAGTGGAGAATAAAACATGATGTTGGAGCACCTCTTCAAGTTGCCTGGCTGATCCTCAAAGCTGCATCAAGGTCTGAATAATAATATTTACAGAGAAAACATGCAATGGAGATGGATTACCCTCAGACACAAGGGAAAAGGTCTTGAAACAGAAACAACCTAGAGTACACAAAACCTTTTAAGTCTCATGAAGATATAATGCTAATAATACAAAGCAGATAACTCCACTAGAGAGACACTGATGATTCAATTTAGAGACACTAAATAATGTGTGTGTGTGTGCGGTGTGTGTGTGTGTGGGGGGGGTTCTTTCCACTTGTATTAGTCTATTCTGCCCACAGAATGGGGTTAGTTCAAGTCGACCAGCATTGACAGGCAGCAGCTGAAGGGAGAGCAAGCCACATGTGCTCTGACAGCTTTACTGTATCCGAGTGGGTAATGAAAACATCGTGAAGTCAGCGGTCGATGAATCTGCGGCAAAACAGGGGCTGTAAAAGTGATGCAGGTTTTCGAGCTCAGCGTTTTAATGTAAACAGAGACGCTGATGAAAGTGCAGCTTCAATTTTGCGGCCAACTGAAGGGGAGCTAACTGGTAGTGTAAAATATATGGTGTATGGGGGCTCTATTCAGCAGAAGTTAGGCTTAAGATTTTAAGGTATAGAAGAGCATACCGTGAGAAAGTGTAGTTTAGTAGTCTTCAAATTAGGTCAGTACGGTCAAACTTTATGCCCCTCAGTAGTTTCACTGGCGTGAATGTTCTGGTTCAGATAAATAATTAAATAATGAAAATTCGTAAACTTTAGACATGGGATCTAATTTTATTCTCCGACAAAAGAAGACCCGAGGTTAAAAGGAACAAAGCAGTTGCCTCATTTTCAGCCGTGTTGGCACCTATTCAAAATGTTGGTCCAGTTTGAATAAGGGACGGGCTTCACCCTACAACTATAAAGAAAAATGGGTGGCATATCAGCGTGTCCTCACTTACTGGTGCAAGCAGTTTGCAACATTTTCGAATGTGCAATTGGATTTCTTTTGACTGTAATCCTAAATAATAATAGAAAAGGACCTCACAAGTGATGTGCAATCACATATGAAGAGGCTTAATCTAAGATATAGACATAGAAATGCATTCCTGATGACAGATGGAGATTATTTTTCTATGAAGGTAGGGAAGGGGGCAAGCGAGCCTGAAAGAGGAAGAAATAAACTACTGTCATGGCTGTAAAGGCGTTTTGGGATAAAACGCCGTGATGCCCCAGCAGCGGCAAAGAGCAGATCCAGATGGACACGGTGGGGCGCTGAGCTCGTCACTCTTCTCTAAAAGGCACGGGGCAACCAGTACCATGTGTGCGATCAAAGGACACTGTCCACATGCAAAACCATCTTAAGACTCGGTTAGGGTGCGCCATGTCTGCAGTTTCCATTTGGCGCGCAGGTTTCTACAACAAACCTCTCTGAAAAGGTTCCTCATGTGCCACAGGACGGGTCAAACGAGAATCGCTTTCCTTTTTTGGTCTGTGCGTGTTGGGCGGCATCACTCCGTCAATCATCAACGCGGAGCTATGCATCCGCAAATTAAAAATAAAATATTAACAGAAGCAGCCGCCCTCCCCTCCTCCCTGCGTGACAGAAGTCAGCTCCTCTCTTTTAGAAAAAGAGCGGCCTTAAATGAAGTGAACAGTTATTGTTGTCTTACCACTCAAAAGTGAATTTGTGATGCACTTACAGTAAGTGCGGCTTGAAATTTTTGCTGCAGTTCACTTTCCCTCCAATCCATAGGGTTGTGGTTTTGAGGTGTCCCTTACTAGTCCATTGCTCACAACGGCTCAGCTAAAGCTGTAATAGTGGTAGCGATTACTGGTAGTGGTGTTTACCGCTGTGATGGACACTAAAAGAGGAGATAATGCCTTCCTTCCCTTTCAGCAATGTATGGTTTTGTACCCTATAACTCATTCTTAATCTAATTAGAAACCTGTGTCTTCTTTTAGTTTTTTTGCTCCAATCGACTTGTGAGATTTAGATTTATTGGCTTCAATTTTTATTTTAGTCTGTGAACATGCCACTGCTGAGGAAGCCCTTACAGCAACGCAAACAACATAATTTTTTGTTTTTTTATCACTGTTGCTCTGGAAGAGCGTGCTTACTTCAAGAGCAATAATCCCGGTTTCACTCCCGCTGAGGAGTTTTACAGTTTGTGGGCATTTGCCTGAGTGTTTTCACGTATGCTTGCGGCTTCCTTTATCGTCCGGGAGGCATCACCATTCCCTACTGTGCGCATTAGCTTGTGGTTTTCTTTAGAGGTGAACAACCATGAAAAATTGGTCAGAGCATCAAAATAGAAACATGGAATCTGTAAGAGCATGAAAAAACTGCCCAAAAGAGTCCACAGGTCAAGTTTAATAAGTAAGATTAGCATCCAACTTTCTCTATATGAGTATTACAAACAGGTATAAACTGTGGGTATAAAAAAATCTGGGTTTTATGAGAGAAGAGCGACAGTTGATGTAACGGGCTGATTGTCGGCTTTAATGTCTGACATGTTCAGCCTCGTGACAAAAAACCAAACAGAAACTTGAACGTGTTTACACACCAGCGAACTTTACAGTTTTTGTAAAGAAAGAAAGTATCTCAGATAAAACCAATCTAGCAAGTGCAGACTCTTAACACTAAACACTGAACTTAACACTGGTATTAGGTTAAATCTTTGACTGAGCGTCACAATAACATCGGACCACACTTTTTCAGGCTGATAAAAGTGTTTGGGTGTGCCAGTCGCCTTTTGCTATTATCAAAGCCTCCTAAAATGAAAAGAAGGTGAGAGGTGTCTGGAACACCTTTCTCACTAGGACTGAATGACAAAAGAAGAAAAAGGATTCATGAGCATGATACAATTACAATGAACAATCCAGCATTTGATACTCAGGGCTTCATTTAAACAAGCACAATAGCTCTTACATCCTCGAACACAGCTGTTAGAGGAAAGAGAGGGGCTGGGGGTCAATAATAGAAATAGTGTCTGCACACTGAGGGAAGGAGGTCAAGGGTCAAATCTACTACAGATACACTAGGATGTGAAGAATGCTTGTGATAAAGAGCCGGTGAAGAGTTGCATAGACCCATTTCAACTGCAGTGACAGCGTTGGAGAGGCTAAAAAACTATGAACAATTATGATTTGGACATCTTTTACGGCAACTCCGTTTATGTTTAGCACAGTTAAGTTTGGTGATCTTCTTGCTGTGAGGGACTGAGACGGTCACAGGGAACAATCAAAGGAGCTGTTTTGTTTGTGTTTCAGAGACGTTGTACATCGAGATAAGGCAGGAAAACGCCACAACTGTGTACCTCAAGTTCACTGACCTGTTTTGAGCCTACCCCTGCACACTACTTGAGTTTGAAATTTTCTTAACAAAATGTAAAATAAAGATTTTACACCATTGGAAAAAAAAAGTGCAGCATTTGATTTCCTGCCTAAATTTGTGTATTTTGTACATATGTGAAGCCTCGTCTTGGGTTGTGGGACGAACCAGACACTGCATATGACACAGCAAAAAGAACCAACTTAACCAAACTGAATCTTGAACCCATAACCATGTAACCATGTGAAGTAGGCTAAAGAATGTGGCGTGCGCACACACACAAAAAGCATGAAAACAACTTTGAGCGAAGTTCCAGTTCAAGTCTGCAGTTTTCTGAGCCTTAAATAGACCATGTCTTTGTCCAAGTAAAACATCTACTATTATCCAGAAATAAGACAGAGATGATGTCATCGCCGTGGCTCACTGGCTTAGAGTCAGTTTTCAGCTCTGTTCCCATAGACATGTGATTGAGTTTCCTTCCGCCATGCCAGTGGGGGGGCTTTGCTTGACAATTCCAAAGAATGGCAGTGACAAACAGAGAGGTATGACATCACCTCCCTTAAGTCAAAGCATTACTTATGCTACAAAGGACAAATTCAGCTCTGATGCAAACCGGTTCCATTTGAATATTACTAAGTAGAAGAGGAGACATATCCCAAATTTAAATGAGTAGATAGCGTCCATGCAAACAGGCTGACCAAATACATATGGATCTAAAGTCCTTCATACCTGACATGGAGGCGTTCATGACTATGTGTGTGGTGTGTAAGTTAAGTCAATATTGCGCACTTCTCGGTAACAGACTGAGTGGATAAAGCCGTCTGAAATCATCACATCCTGCCCGACGGGCCGCATGAGTCAGACAAAAACGGGACCTGCTTGGATCTGCTGCAGCACTACCTCAGTCTGCACATCGATTGGAAGGCATTACTGGTTTTCTATTACACAGCATCCGTGATGGGAATCACTGCAACTGCCGGACGAGCTGCTCACAATGACACCGAGTGGCTCGTCTTGAATTAAGTCGGAGAGAATTAACCACACGCAACACGAAAGTGCACAATATGCGTTAGCAGTATTTAAAAAAGTCAGACAAAATCAGTGGTATCGCAGTGGTAAGGGCGGGTGGGTGTGATGTAAGCTAATACTGACTCGCTACTTTAAATCTGACAGGTGAGTTGCAGACACTGGCCAAAATTAGAGGTGGTGAGGCGATTTCTTTGTTGCCTTTTCCAGAAACGGAAAACTTATCTTCCAATATTCTTTACGGCCAAATAATGGTCCATGCTTGACAGTTTCGTCTTACCCAGACTTGTCTGCTGTGTCAGTCTGCATAACACGAGCGTTATTGAACAACAACATCCTCACATTTTCACGAGTTAGCTCTTTTAGCCGAGACATACTAGCATGCTAAAAACAAGACAGCACAGACCAAGGGCTGTAGTCTTACCGAATTGCGATGACACAAGGCTAAAAATCCATTCGAGCTGTTGTTCAAAACGGGATGTCCATGACTATAAAATTAACAGTGTGAAATACTTGTGTTTTTCAGTCTGGCTTTGAGACTGAAGTTTATTTCGCGGAGTAAAATGGCTGCGAGTGGTCTACCTTCGGGATGTAGAGTGACGTAATGACGCCGCACATGAAGCGTTGGGGGGCGTGACGGAGAATCTCTGAACTCTGACTGGTCAGCATGAACGAGGGGAGTTGTAAACGGGTGTATTGCTGCACCCTGACCCGAATACTTAACTGAAAATAAAATTTGTTACCATTTAAACATTTCTTTCTCTATCTTGTACATTTGTACTTTGTAGAAAAGAGTGCTTGAGACATAAATCATAAGTTACAAGAACACCGTTCTTATTTTCTTCAAAAACTGATCAAGACATGATAGATGGAGGCATGTAAACTGGGTATCAACACTCGGAGAGCTCTTAAATGAATACTTGTACGAAACTTTAAGATGTCAAAATTTTAATCATTTTTCAACTAATATTAGTTTAAAACTTAATACAGGTTTTTCTCAATTTTCAGTTACTTTGAGTTTATAATAGAAATATCTCCATTATTTCAGTTAATTCTGAACATTAATCCACTTTTAAGAATAAAAAGCACACAATATACAAATACAATAGACAACCACAATGCTTTGAGCCCCAAACCTTCACTTTGGTCTGTACTGTTTTACATTAGCAATGCTTCATCCAATCTTTAAAATACCAGATAGATCTTTCTGATAAGTAAAATACATCCAAATACACAAATGAGAACTGGTCATGTCTGTTTGGCCTTCTGTACAGGAGCAGGCACATCAGTAACATTATGGAGAAAGTCATGCAGCAGTTTGGCATTGTTAACATTCCCAAGTATTTCTGCTAGTTTGTCCTGGCTCAGTTTGGCTAAGTCCGCCAGTGTGTCTGCATTTCTTATGAGCGCCCTGTAGTTTTTTGTGTTGACACCTGGCATTTTCAACAGGAAGTCGTAAGGTCCGGGGTTGTAGAGTTCTGCCGATTCAGCCACTGTGTCCGACTCTGCCGTAACTGCCTGGGCTGCTGAGGCATCGGGCTCTGCACGGCCTTGCTTCAGTTCCAAGAAGAGCTCAGCTGTGGCGTGCGGCGATGGGCACCAGAGGATGCGGAGCCGGGGAAAGTGCAGCGTGAGTAAGGTGAGCTTGGAAGAAACATCACTGGAAGAAATCTCGTTGCGGAAATCTGACCGGGCCACCAAAGAGAAGGGCTTAGCTGGGTCAAACTCGATGAGCAGCACCGGCTTCCTGTAGTAGCGGGTCATGGAGAGGCACTGGGTGTAGAGGCGGCCACTCTGCAATGAGCCAATCAAGTCACTGACGCTCTTGCGTTCAACACACGTGTCCGGTGTCAAAATGTAGTCGCCCACTTCGAGGGTGACAGGCTCAATGTCCAGGCCACGACGGTGAAGCAAGGAGGGCAGCTCACTGCGGAACTCACGCATGTCCACAATGACTCTTGAGGGCTCTTTAGGCTGCTCCTGGCCTCCTGGTTATTGGACATGGAAAAGGAACAAAAATCCAAATAGGTTCAGTGAAGAATAAAGACAGTAAGGCACAAACAAATATATATAATTACCTGCTTTGCGGGAGTTAGTGGTGGTATTTGCAGGCTCTAAATTTCTGGCAAGGTCTAAGTTTGTGTCTTCTCGGCCTTCCCTCTCCTCTGGGATGACCATTGTAGCCTTTTCCCTGAATAATGACACATATTCAAGGAGCAATGAGAGGTCAATGCTTAAACAAGGCACACAACAGACTCCCAAGGGACCTGGCAATAGGAGTTATTTCTAACCTGATGAGGTGCTCAAAGGCTTTCTTTTCCTTTGACAGTGCTGTCAGATACTTCTGTTCTTCTGTCGAGCCTCCGTAGATGAGAAAATACACCCTGAGCGGCTTTCCGGGCCGGTTAGCTTTGTAGATCTCCAACTGGCGTACAAAACTCAGCTCAGCATCGTACAGCACCACAAAGCTAGGCTCCACCTCGTGAAGCACTCGGGTCAGGCTGTGGGGGTCGGTGCAGCCTTTCAGAGGGTGGATGACGGTCAGTGGCTCCTTCAGGACACCGTAATAAGAGTCTGAGGACAGGTCTAACTTCAACTGCTCTTCCTCGCTTTCGTCTCCCTCCATCAGATCGTCCTCATCTCCACTGCTGCCCATAACTCCTGCCTCACCAATTTCCTCTTTCCCAACCATCTGGGTAAGGGTCAGAGACGGTCTTTTGCTTTTGCCAGACTTTGTTTTTTTTGTCTGAACAGGCTCCTTTCCCTTGGCTCCCCTTTTGACCCAACCTTTCCCCTTTTTGTGCGAGTGCAGCTCAAAGGCGGGAGCTGCGGGGGAGTCACGTTTTCCGATGGTGCGGGCATAAAGTCGATTGAGGAGACAATCAGAGCCGTTCCTTATGTACTGCTGGAGCTGGGCGCAGGTCCGGTCATCACTCGCACAGATCAGTACACTACCTACAGAGGTGAGGTTGCACATTACGACTAAAACACACCTTGCTCACACTTGGTGAATCAGCATCACACATGACACATCTGCATGCTGCTAAAGTCACTTTTGTCCACACAAAAAGTTGTATTCCAATCCTAATGGGTATATGACAGTTAAAATATCTGTTGGTACTCCTAAGAGCATTTTTCTGTTAACCTGATTTATACCAAGCTTTTCCATGACCGATCTCTTTTTATGCAGTGAAAGCTTTGAAAACAAAGTGCTGTCCTTGGATGTTTACAAGATTTCCACAATTACTCAGTGACTGCACGGGAGGATGTTTTCTGTACAAAAGTGGCTTTCCATTTCTTACTTTTTCAACCATGAAAAGTTGCAGAATGATAGACCATTGTAGCTATTTAAAAAAAGAAAAATCAATTCAGCATTTACTATTTTAAGATGCTGTCCTTTAACAACATGCTTAAATCCACATTTGAACTGGACTAAGATGACAAAAATATAGACAGATATATCGCATCACTTAGTGTTCTGAGTTAGGCAGCTGGCTAAATTTTTCGCTGAACGTGATGTTGCTGAGTCTTGAACACGTACTGATGTCAGCTTATTCTCTTTATTGGGTCGGATGGTGGCTAAATAAACCTGGAGCTTCCATCATTTGGAAATAAACCTATCCAGGCTGCATTTTGTGATGGTAACTGGAAGCAAAATTAAATCGGAAGCCACAGGAAAGAGATGGCATGCACAACATCCAGATCTAAGATTTTTAAAAATCATAAAAAATCATTCTTAAATTGAAATACACTGCTGGCATGACAGCCCATTTAAAGGTTTTGAGATTTGACCTGGTTCATGCTTAGAGCTCTCGTTCTCTCTCTCAATCTCCTCCAGCACCTCCGTCAGGGCCTCCCACTTTGGGCTCTTCTCCAGCACCAGCTCTCGCTTCAATTCTTAAAACCCACAAACACACACACAACCACAGAGAGAGTTTAGTTATTTCCAAATGAGTACCCACAAGCAGTGGATATCCACTCTGACCAATGAGCAGATCTCTGATAACATCTTTTTCCATTACCCAGGGCAGAGGACGGCTTCTTTTTTTCTGCCTCTGCTCCAACTCTGAGTTTCTTTTTGCTCTCAGGAATCCTGTACACTCTGCTTCTGGCATTTACAAACATGGAGGTACTCGAGTCCAAGAAAAGCCAGCCTTATGGATAAAATCAGACAGAGACAAACGGAATTAGTTCAAATTTTTAAAGGGTGTACTATGTTCCTTGGAATGGCTCCAATCAGAAATAAGGATTAGTTATATGCATTCAATTCACCTGAATTGGAGCCAAAGTTCTTTTGGCTAGAGCGAAGCGACTCGAGCAGATTCAGGAAGGTGACGCAGTCATATTGGGTGAGGTAGAGGAGGAGAACCCTGAGCACCTTCAGGTCCTGAACCAGGGCTTTTGTTTTTGCTCCTAACTGATGCCACAGGGGGTCCAGGTAGTGTCGGATAGTCTGGATAGTATGAAGAGAGAACGAATCCTTAAAGAGGCAATCAATTATAAGTCACCATTAGGCTATAATACTAGGGTATATTATTGGTGCAATCGTTGTGACATTTTTTGGTTTAATTTGTTGAATTTACAAATAGCATTGAGGCACAATGTGTAAAAGCACATTCGGGAAACTTTTTGATGGTTAGACCTTTTCAAATGCATTTCCTAAAGTGTTTTCCAATGACAGATCCTCGGCTTCCAGGGCAGGATTGTAGCGTTTCAGCTCCTTCAGACAGGCGCTCATAATGTCCAGGATGGAGCTCTGGATGGCCCTCATAGCTGGAGTTAGCGACACATGAAGCTCCACCACTTCGGGCTTATGCCTGTCCAGTCCTGTGTTCACTGACGCTTGGAACCTGTTGAAATAAAGGGAAAAAAAGAGACAAGAGATGAGGCAGGCTTTGACTTTTCATGTTAATGCAATACAGTGTGTGCTTTTTTATTTCTTTTTACCTGGGCCACAGGTAGAGCTTTTTGACAAACAAGTTTCTCATCACTCGCTCTACTTGGCAAAAGCCAGAAGAGAAGGCTGTGGCCTTGTCAGTGAAAGCCTTAATGAAGCCAGTCTTGTTCTTCTGCCTGAACAGACGGAGGATGAAGGCCTCCTGGCACGACTCAATGATTTTATGAGCTCGATACACTAGTATCCCTATGCAGCAATCATCACAAAGACAGAAAAACACATTAGTAACATAAGGATAAATCCACCTGTTGGGATTATTTTAGCTCCACACCCCAACAAGCAGACAAACACTGAGGGTTGGATGAATATGTTAAAAATTTAAAAATCACTCAAAATCATGTGAAAAGACAGCACTTCCTCCTTGACCTCTGTTTTAAATGCATTGGGAGATCATCAAAGCCATCCTATGATTCTCTTAAAATTAGCCTAATTCAACCTCAGATCAACAGCAACCCACAGCATATAACACGTTTTTATATAAGAACAAAATATGAATGCAAATACAGCTATTAGTTAGTTCTTTAGCTCAAACGACCTCTTTTAACAGCCCTATCTTAAATAAGTAGTTTTATTCATGACTTAATCTCAAATAGGAAGGATTTCAGATTTTTTTTAACAGGACAGTTTCCTATTGAGACATTTCTTTTCTCTCACTGAGGTGAGTTTGCATGGTGCCTTTTACAAGTTGAAATTTGAACAACTGCAGGTATTGAAGCTACACGATATTGCATGGTTACACCACTTTATGTTCCTTTGCTCTTAACATATGTAAGTCTACACCAAGTTCTTCTTGCTACACTTGTTTTACATTAGTAAGGTTTGTTACGTATGAGGCATCAGCCTGACTTCAGTTATGAAGAAAACTGAGATATAGCCTTCTTTTTTATCCTAAGAGAGGTGATTGCTCCTTGGCTGGCATGCAGTAGTGTTTCTTTTTTTGTTACAAAGTCCCAAACCTAAAATAATCTCAACACACACATTGTTTTAAGTCCAACTGTAGCATTTAAATGAGGTTGAGGTCTGGACTTTGAGGGGACACACCTTTTCATACATTCTCTTATAAATAAAACTGAAGATATAATTGAGCCCGTTTCAACGTGTCAGATTTGATAGAACTGATCATACATTTCTATATATCCAGCCATAACATATGAATACAGGAGTGTATCAGTGTCTCACCTGAGATAAGATGCGCAGGGATTCGATCAGTTAGGAAGTCAACCACCAAAATTCTACTGGTGACGAACAACACCCCTCCCTCGGTGTAAACATTGTAACGCTCCGCGCTCTGGACATCGCTTGTCACCGTCCTGGGCAGGTGGGTCACTCCCTCAACCCGCAACAGCTCTGTAAAATACTCCTACGAAGAAAGAATTGAAAAGCCGCCTTAAAAAAAATTAATACACTGAATTAATGCGACAAACATGGGAGCGAGTTGCCGTTTGGCTTTATATAGTGACCTTCTTCCCTGTCTGTGTGCTGTTACGTAGCTAGCTGAGCTATGATACAGTTACCTGTTCAGGTGTGGTTGTGTTAATTAGAAGGACCAGGCTGCCCTTCTCCGAGTAGACCCGCATGAACTGCAGCAGGATTCGGTCTATTCCCATCCCCTCAGCAACCACAAGCAAGCCATCACAGCCGAAAAGGCTCAGGAACATCTCAGTCTCAAACTCGAGCAGGGGTCTCGCCATGTCGTACACTTATGAGAAGCCGTCCTTAATACGCTTCAGTGGAAGATCCGGTTATAACTATCAGCGCTTTCCGTCAGCTAAAAGTGACATAAGTCACTCTAGACTGCCACAACAACAATAGCTGCCCATTTCTGAAACAGTGTTTTGAAACTGCTCACTTCCTGTGAGAAAACCCACGTGACGCAGCGATAACGTTTAACCCAAACAGCGTCATCAAGTGGCAGGGAAGGTTACCGCAGGTTTATCTTGTCTTTAAAATGTACGTTTCAAGCACATTTAAAGGGAATTTCTTGATTCGAGGGCATAACCTTAGGGTCAATAAGAAGTTGCCAACATTTACCCACCAAAACTGATGCACGTTTTTAAAGAGACAACACAAAATCCTCTGAGGTCAACATGTTCATCGTGAATGTCTGAACCCGGCTGATATAGTGTTGCATACTATTATTAAAACATTGTACTAAACTTGAAAGAATAACTTAGCTAAATGTATACATAAATATCCGTTTCAATGTTCGATTTTGAATAACATCATAACATATCATTGCAACACAAATAGAGGTTTTTCCTGCTACATTTCTGAGTTATTAGGTTGGCTGTTTATGCAATCCACCAACACAACCAGCACTGTAATGTGCTTTCATTATAATGCTGGCCAGCTGAGCTTTGGGAAAGTCTTTTGTTTCTGCCCACACTGCTCTGTCACAAGAGAAGAGGCTGAGGGGATCAAAGTGGGTCTATGGCAGTAAATGACAGCAAAGTAGCAGGATGAAGTTGAGCCCATCAGCACTTCCAAACACAACAACACTCACACTCAGACAGGCACATTGCGCGTGACTCATCATAGCTGTGAGATGTCAGGCTTCAATTAGATTTTCATATCCGTCTTTTTTTCTTTGTCCTTTTTTAAGGTGATGTTTTCTCTTTGTACAACATTACGGAGGAGAAAACACGAGTCTTCCTTTATTCCGTCCATCCTTCTGACGTTGTTCCTCTGTCCTTTGAAACAAAGTTTACACAGTACTTACCCTTGAAATGACATAAAAATGTGTGTGCATGTGCAAAAGTGTGTTCACACCGTGCCCTCTGAATCTGACAGGAAACATAATTTATTTTGATATCCTGAATTTGAATAAATGAGGGATGAAACACTGTTGCAGATGTTAACTAAGTGTTAATTAAAACTCATATTTAATTCAGTTTTCCCTAATTAATTAATTAAATCAGTGCAAGGATAGAATTTATTTTTTCTTATGGGATACGTTTTTTTTTATCGTAGGCTATAGTTCACTATACTGTTTACCAAAGAATAGAAGACTTTATTACTCAGTTTCTTTTACTGTTGCTAATTCTGTGTTGCCCAGGAGACCGTTAGTCACGTCTATTCAATTACTGAATTACTCTTATGTCTGTGCATGTATGGCTTAATTGACATTATAGCTGACTCTGACTTTGACTTTGATATAGTCTTGCAATCAGGCTGACAATATGAACAACAATGCTATTTTTTAAACCCTTAGTGTTGTTTAATAATTTGTGTTTTGCATGCCCTCCTATTTTAAGTTTGTTCATCAGCAAAAACAACTAGAAAAACACGGGTAACTGTGTTAGCATTATGTGATAAACTTGATTCAGCTCCATCCTGTTACGACTGAATTCAATGCCACACAGGAGTGTTAGATCTGATGAACCCATTATGCCTTGCAAACATACAAAAAGGACTAAATGCTGCTGCTTCAGGCTGGTTCTCTGTCAGAAAACGCGAGTCATGATTTAGGCTACAGCATGGGGAACAACTATTTGTAACATCTTAATACATCTGGAATCCTTGCATAAGCATTAGGTAGGAAAACTGAAAAATGTCAAGCTGACTTGAAGATTTGTCACGAACAATTAAATGAAAGGGAGAAAGAGCAATTAAAAGAAACAAAGAAAAGGGTCATGAAGAGAAAGGCTTATTAATCTTCTGAAAAAGCCTTATGTAGACACTAATAATTTATCCACGATAAACAATACAATACTTGTTTTGAACACACAGTGAACACTTGATATATGGCAAATTTGCTCTGGATTAAAATAGTGTATTACCCCAAACAAGCCTCTAGAGAGCAGTGGAACACTTTGTTTTCCAAACTCCTGCACCTTTGGGGTGATCAGTGTTTTAAAAGATTAATTTCTGTCCAACCTCCTTTTAGACACAAGCAGCAGCTTCATGTCAGTACGCAAACATGAAACAGGCTACTGGGACAGCAAAAGGACGACAAATCCAACACAACTGATTTGGATATTCAGTTTCAAGGTATATGTCACTGATCCTATAAATACATTTCTATACCTGTTAGATCCCTGTCAGATTTTGGGATTAAAACTACAAATGTGCTAATTTTTGCACCAAGACAGAGAAGTAAAATCACACGTTTGGTAACTAATGCACATCCTGATATCACGGTTGGTATAGCAGCACTGTAAATGAGAGGGGAACAGCTTGAAATTGATGGCAGCCTGGAGGAAAAAAATAAGATGAGATATTTAACACTGCTTGCTTGACTGCAGTGTAGGAGGGAAGAGAGAGACTCAGACAAATAGAAAAGAAAATAGTTAAAGGCCTAATACATCCCTCCAGCCCTCATTAGGAAAAGGAGGAAACAGCAGGGTTTTGTTGTATGTATAAGGCTGAGGGCCAACTGTGACTCTAAGGGCCAAACTCAACGCCTCCGAAGGTTAAGACACACTCCCTATTTCATGAATATGGTAACATCACGTTTTTGGTAACTGAATTACAAAACCTCAATGTGATTACAAACAAAAACCAAAAAACCCACCAAAAAACGTTTGAGATCTCTGCTGAATTATAAGACAGTGAACTAATTAGACCTAATTAAATGTGATCCTGCAAAAGAAAAAAGAAAAGATTGGGGGCTTCTTTTGTGCCTTTGACTGAAGAATGGATTTTCTACATTCTGGAAGCAGGTTTAGGTGCTGATTTTTAAATTCCTCACTCCCAAAAGGTTAAGCTCAAGCCCACTATTAAATAATAAAACCCATACCAGCCACATTCCTCAGTCTTGCAGGTCCCTGACTTTCTGAGGATCTTTTCAAGATCCAGCTTTTGTCTCTCTGCCTAACTCCTTTTAATAAAATTTAATCTGTTCATAAAATACATAAAAAAACTCAGTTTTGGTTTTTCATGTAGCTGAAAATAAGAAAATCAAATCAAACAAATCTAAAAACAAGTACTTTCAAACTGGATGAAAATGTCTACTTTTTCCCACTAAAAGGGAATTTTTTCAACCTGCTCCACCGCTTTATCCCTTTAGGTTATGTTGAGCATTAATGGTGATAGGATGGGGCTTAGTTTCCATTACAAAGATGGAGGCTAGTTGGATTCAGAGTGGATGCAGAGTAGTTTTCATTCATTTTGTTCAGCCATGCTAACATATGCAACCTCACACCGTTCCTCTTACAGTAAAGCAATAACTTAATTTCCAAAGAACATCATATTGCACGCTGCATTCCTCCATATTTTAAGCTCTACGAGAAAAACTCTTAGTCTGCACATCAGTTTGAACAAAAACTCAGGGTCAACCTGTGACAAAGATGATTACCTGAAAGCCTTTCAGCACAAAGAGATGTCATGAATTAAATATCTACAGTGAGTCCAAATGACTCTTGGTGAAAATAAAAACAAAGTAGCAGAATAGATGGTTGCTACAGTCACAACAAAAGGAACTTTTCTGTTTGTCTTAATTCTTGGTCACCCCCATGCCTTTGCGAAATGTGAATAAAGATAAAGGTTCTCTTAAATAGTGCAGGTGAACTCTCTCTAATTGGGATTGTTACAGAACAGCTTCACTGCTCTGAGATGCAGATTGTGGCTCTCAGAGCTGGGTCAAGCAGCACAAGTCAAACAGCTTCAGTAATGCAAAGCCATAGTGACACACACGAAAGAAATTTCTTTGTTTATATGTATCGCTGGGCACTGACAACAAAAAAGACGTTTCCAGGTCTGCAATTTGCATACATTATCACCGAGAAAAACAAGGGACTAGATGCATATAGTAAAGAAGAGAAAGCACTCTCACATGATCAAGCGCAGTAGGCAAAGGAAGCAGAAATTATTGAAGAAAACTCCACTGAAGCACAAATGTGGCTTGCATAAGAGGCATGAAGAAAGCTCGCTTACCGTCACATCCACTTTGGCAAATCTCTGTGACCGTGGATGCTGATAAAGAGGGGAAGAATCAAGCATTTAAGAAAATGATAAGAATTAGAAATGGGTTTGGGAACTAGTAAAAAAAAAAAGGACAACAACAAGACATGAAGGAGTGACCAAGAGCCACATTAACTAATTTTTCTTCCTTGTAATTTCAGGAGAGCTGTCCAAAGTGTAAGGTTTATCAAAAAGGCACGTAAGATTTCCAGGCTGGCAGCCTGGATATTTGGATGTTGACAGGGGAGATAAGTTCGGCTTTAACAGATTTTACTGATTGATTCGAGCAAGCAGTAGCATGCATAAAGACAGAATAGCTATTAATCTTTCAGATCTACAGATGGTATCCTTTTGATTATTCCCCAAGTCACAGAAGTATTAAAACTTTTAGGCAAGGAACTCTCAAGGAGGGAATAACTTAACTTAAACATTAGCCTCTCTTTTAAGTTTTGTTTTTAACCAACCTTTTTTCCCAGTGCTACCTTTAAAAAATACTTTCTTGCATATGGTCGTTAATAAGTTAAAGAAATGGTGACCCTGAAGACATCAAATTCTTTGTTCATGGAAAGTTTTTTTTAAACTTCAAACTTTTTTAGCCCAGTACAGATTGTTGCAATAGTGTGACTACAGTGCAGTACACTGTAATCCTGACCAACCCTGAAGCCTATGATTGACCTGACGTCCCCAGACCTGCACCTCATGGGCCATTAGAGGGGGGAAGAGGTAGCCATGTAACTGTTATGGAGATCTGTGCAGCCTGAGGGCTGCTAACTAATGGCAACATCCTAGG